GTCCTCAACATGGACCCCCCCCCCCCCCTCATTAATACTCATGAGCAGGTGACGTCCTCCAAACGGACACCCTCCCCCCTCATTTATATTAATTAGCGGGTGACGTCACTCCACATGGGGGGGGGGGGCGAGGCGCCTCCTCCCCCCTCCTCGGCGTCAACTCACAACCCTCACTACAAAGGCAGAACCCTCACGTCACGTGGTCTCCGTCACGCTGTTGAGACATCAAAGTAAAAAGGACGTCTTGATGAACAAGGGATTATAACAGGGGTCGGGAACCTTTTTGACTGGGAGAGCCATAAAAGCCAAATATTTCTAAATATATTTCATTGAGAGCCATATAGTATTTTTAACGTATAATAAATTAAATATGTCTTACTTTTAATGCGACTTCTGGTGCTGCATGCTTTTGCTGATGGCCTTGTAGTCTGGTTCATACGTGGTGAGGTTGAGCTTCATGCAGGCGTGACCCGTGAAATTTATCTTCAAAACTAATTTCTGTTTACTTTAAAATGACACAGTATTATTAAGTAATATCACAAGTATTTTAAAATCAGTTCCAAACTGATTTTTTTTTCAACTCTAAATTGTCTGGGAGCCATATGCCGTCACTGGAAGAGCCATATATGGCTCACGAGCCACAGGTTCCCGACCGCTGGATTATAACCTCTACATGAATTAAGTCTGTGTCACCGCGCCCTTACAAATTGCACACGAATGGATGCAATGAATATATCACGTCGCGGTTTGATTTTCGCTTGCAAGTTTCAGATTTACTGTAATACACTCGTATAATAAGTGACGTTTCGGGCAACGGTCCTTCTTCACAGCAACAGCAGCAAGTTGCGTCGTTGTACGTACGGCGGTCGTCCGCACAAGCGCTAGCCAGGCTCGGCTTAGCTTTCCAGATCCGACGAGCCCGAGTCGCTACTTGGATCAAGCGTGACCATGATCGAAGGCTCATCTTTTTGGTTCTTTCGGTAAAGTCACGTAGAAGGGAAATAATAAAATAATAAAAATAAAACATAATAATAAAAAAAACCCGCCCACCTCCTACGCATTTCCCATAAACATGCTAAATTCCTCTTGATATGCAAATTATTTTGTCAAGGCGCTCTTCTTCCCCCTCCAACCCAGCTTAAATATACGCTCCAAGCTTGGTGGTGTTTCATTCTTCACCTGAGGACGGCTGCTTGCGTTGTAGCCGAAACGTCGTGATAATTATTTTATTATGATTTATTTTTATTATTGTATTATTTCCCTTCTGCGTGACTTTACCGAAAGAACCAAGAAGTTGAATCCCTGCAGTCGCGAAAGCTTTAAATCGAAAAGATCGAAGGCTCCGTTGATCGAACGAGATGAGACGTAGAAATCGATGCTCGAATCGAATTGACATCGGAATCTCGGCGAATGGAATCGCTCGGTTCGCGAGAGGCGCTTCAGAGGTTAAGGGTCGAGGGAAGGAAGAGGTCCAACAAAATTCTCGTGACGCAAGACGATTGCGCAACGTGGTTGTCACGATGCTCAACGCACACACCACGCACGGATCGATGCTTTGAGAATCCTGGTACATATTAAATTTCGATTTAAAGCTTTCGTGACTGCAGGGATTCATCTTCTTGGTAATTTCGGTAAAGTCACGTAGAAGGGGAAGTAATAAAATAATAAAAATAAAACATAATAAAATAAAATACTATCATATAATATTATTACGTTTTATTTTTATTATTTTATTACTTCCCCTTCTACGTGACTTTACCGAAAAAAACAAGAAGCTGGTACATATTCTTGGTTCTTTCGGTAAAGTCACGTAGAAGGGAAATAATAAAATAATAAAAATAAAACGATAACATTCTCACGACGTTTCGATAGCAACACAAGCAATTATCATCAGGTGCGAAAACCACAGCAATAAATGTTGACCTTACCGAAAGAACCAAGACTATGAATCCCTACAGTCACGAAAGCTTAAAATCGAAAATTTGTCCTGGTACATATTTATATTCCTATAATACGGTGCAAGTGTAGGCTGACCAGTGCCGGATTATCCTAGTAGCAAAAGTAACATATGCTACGGGTCACGCTAAATGCTTTCAAGCTATCAATTCCGGTTCAGTGATTCTGCACTTGAATCTTGATTTGAAGCGTTCGTGACTGCAGGAATCCATACTCTTTGGTTCTTTCGGTAAAGTCACGTAGGTAGAAAAAGAATAGATCACGACGTTTCGATCGCAACACAAGCAATCGTCATCAGGTGGGACAACCACAGCAAGAAAAAAACTTGTGTTGCGATCGTAACATCGTGATCTATAATTTTCTACCTACGTGACTTTACCGAAAGAACCAAAGAGTATTCTGCACTTGCTCTATTACTATAGTACTATACTGCCTTCAACTTTTATGAACGACTGGGTGTTTAAGGTTTGCGATTTGTTGTATTATCCGCCTGTATAGCAAATTCATAATATAGGTTTTTTGGGTCAGATCGCGTTATTTATAAATGTGTCGTAACCCTCCACCACCCGACACGGCCAAACAGTAAAAAATGTGTCACGTTTTTCAAAGGACAAAATTATTCACTTCTTTAGCCTTTGAAAAACGTGACATATTTTACTGTTTGGCCGTGTCGGGTGGTGGAGGGTTACGACACATTTATAAATAACGCGATCTGACCCAAAAACCTATATTATGAATAAAATTGGTCGCGAAAGCCTACGTGTATAGCAAATTAAAATTACTTTACTATGCAAGTAAAACATTTACGTGTTTTAATATTTACGTGTTTTTTTTAATGTAGGGCCCCTCTATAACATATGCTACAGATCCTGCACTAGCTTAATCCGGCACTGAGGCTGACCCCTGAGGATGACCCCCCCCACCGGCCCTCCCCCTGGGCTGACATCTATAACTGACCACTACGACCGATTCCATTATCTTGATTAAAACTCAAAGAGCCTCCCAGTTCAGACGGGGGGATGAGGCTGCACTCAGCTCAGACTCGTCTCCTCGGATCTGTTTGTGGGCATTCCACGTTACCATGGCGGGGACCATCCAACCAATAGCACAGGATGGTGATATTCATTTACAGTCGTGGTGGTGTTCGTTATTAATCAGCAATGATCTATACACTGCTGGATGAAGGCCCCAGCCGTCGCCATCTCTCACGATCCTGGGATGTAATGTAACCCTCCCCAGCGTCTGGCAGCACACGAGGAGCTGAGTTCATCGCTCCATCTCCCCGGTGGATGTCCTCTCTCGGGCACGTTCCATCCCTTGACCGCTTGCCCCGCACTCGCTCGTTCTCGCCCATCAAAGTTGGCGGCTTTCGCATGAATAAAAAAGAAAGTCATAATTGAAACACATTACAACCCTTTGTTAATCCACTGCTGGATGAAGGCCTTCCCACGCCTTGTCGTTCACGATGGTTGTTTGGCCATACTTCACCACGCTGGTCAGTGCGGGGTGGTGAACCACCCTTGCCACTGATGTTAGCCGTGGCCAGGAAACACTTCAGGTAACAGTATTCATAGCGCAGCGCGCTGCAATTCGATATTTCAGGATTGGTAGTGTTTCTTAATTAAGTGTTTTGTGATCCAGCGCTTTGGAGTCCATGGTTGGTGGATCACACGAAGATGTGTGGACCGATATCCACGGAGAGGTGCCATGCGGTCATCAGATGGCAGTACAGCAAGTGGGCCAATCCCACACCGATGCGTGTTGGGTTTCCTCCAGACGCAGTCCTGTAGCGTGGCTAAGTTCATTCTCCTCCTCTAAAGAAAATCACCGATTAAAATTAAAGAAAACACGTTTGGAATTGGTCGTACATCTCAATGTATTAGGAACCCTCCCGGCGCTGTTTGGAGGGAACAAACAAATACGCCGCTAAACGAGGACATTACGGGGATTACCATAACGTCTCGCACAATGCAACCACATTTGCGGTTGACCATTCAATTCCGCGCCTATTGTATGACAAAGATTAAAATCCCCCTTACGTGTAGCCTGTAACAGACTGTTGGAGTGCAAGTGCTGTTAGCGAGCACCTATGAAGGCTGACACGGCAAACACCACCTTTGTCTCCCTTGTGGCGATGTTTACACACCGCACCAGGTACTCATTTTAGGCTCAGTCGACCTAGGGGAGGAGGCCCAGGACCATGATCAGATAATCGTCTCTGGTGTTGGCCGTGAGCTGGAATCGAATTCGGGTGGCCGGGTTCGTAGCGCTAACCACTACACCACCGCTCCCCACGGCATGACGCGCACACACACACACGGCGCACGCGTGTTTCAGAAACCTGGGGAATAAATCCGATGAGCTATGAAGCTCTTTTTTAAACAGATGCCCAGCAGGGGGCAGGTAAGAAAGTTACGACAACAAACGATAGAACAGGTGAAGCGATTTTGTTTCTCGATTTAGGACACGTGAACAACAATGTCTAAGCGACAACAATGTTTTAGCAGAACAATAATTAATCTAGAGATGTTTTTTTTTACCGGAGCCAAACCTGTTGGAGCATGTGTGACTCGTGTCCATGTCACCTGATTTAAATCATCCTGTGGGAGGGCTGGAGGGTGGTGCTAAATTTAAAAGAAAAAAAATAGTCTCACATTAATAATAATTTTAGTTAAAACAAATTCAATGCATTTTCTTAGCCAAATATGATTAAAATAAACCTTTTCGGTATGACAAGGGGTGTGAATGGGGGGGGGGGGGGGAATTACCCCCTCCCATTCACACCCCCCCCCTAGGAACAGCCACTGATTGCAGGTAAGCGGCGTTCATCAGGGTCCTCTCTCCGGCTTCTTTGTCGTTCATCCGCTTCGTGTCGTATTTGTGTAAGTTGCCGGAGTGGCACGACTGACAGGTGCGCTTCGTAGAGGCACATTTCAATCCCCACCATCACTTTTGACTCTTCTCAAGGCTTGTTAAGCCACCAGCACCGCGACCTCCTCCTCCTCCTCACTCCCCGTATCAGTTGACAGCGCGCGCTTCTGTTTAATAACCGGCAACTTAACCCCTTTGACGTCTCGAGAAGGTCCATCTAGCGACATCTAGTTCACCTCCTGTGTGTGGAGGGTGCGAGGAAGCCTTCCTTTATCCACGTTCACGCTTTACAGGAGCCTATATAGAGCGGCGCTTGTGAAGCTATCCCACAGACTCATCCCATCTCATGAGCAGCAGCAGCGACTGCTCAGGTACGGGGCACTTCATCCGCGAGCCAGGGTACCCCTGTCCCTTCGCCCCGACAACTCGCCACTGTTTGTGCCTCTGCCTTCGTCGCTTTGTGTTGTTTTGTGTCGGTGTTGTCGGTCCCCGCGTCGCTGTGAGGCGAGAGGAGATCGCGGCGCCGCTGTGAGCGGTGATGTCAGTAGGGGGGGTGCCATTTTCACAGCCCCGCGTCTCCCTCCTCCTGCTCGTCTTCGTCGTCTCCCTCCCTCCTCGCCTGCCACCCCCCTCCTCCCCCCCTTCTCATCATCTACCTTCTCCCCTTTGCCGCTCTTGCCTGGAATCGCCGAGTCTACCGAGTAAATGTTTACGTTCATTGCCATTTTGTCGATGCAATTGTGCGCGCGTCGTTGACGTTTGGTGGCGGTGGCGGCGGCGTTGGGCCTAAAAGCCTGGGCCTGACCTCGTCTCTAACGCCGTTGTTGTTATTGTTGTTGTTGTTTATCGTTGTGTCTGGACAGCGCGCCGCAAGAAGAGTATGGTAATACATGAACGCCGCTGACGGTAGGATATGGCAGATAAGCGAAAGCTACAAGGTGAGTTATCTTGTGCGGGAAGCATAATCCAACGTAAAGGCCCCCCGCGAGGCCTCGGGCTAGACTAGCTGCTCCCCCCCGGGGGAATCTCCGGGATGCATTCTAGTCGAGACCGAGGCCTTACGGGGCCCTGTCGGGCTGTCCGCGTTACAATACCGCGAACAGATTCGCATCTGTTCGCGACAGGGGGATGCTGTCGATGTTGTCAACGTTGTTGATAGTGGACGTTCATTTGCTTTATTGAGTTGTGGCGAGCGACGTGCGTGGGGGTGGTGGGTAGAGATGGAGTATGCGCGCCTGTATTGTTTTGTGGCGGGCGCGCTGTGTTGGTTGATGATGGCCGAGCGCGCCGGCCCGGGATGTCCGCGCTGCGTGTGGCGCCGCTGTTCAGTGTCACTGAACGCGGTCCCCTGAGCCGCGATTGTCTCTACGCTCGGCTTCGCTGGAATCCCGGGCTTGCACTGGAGCTCCGTTGTCGGTCGGAGGAACGGAGGGGGCCCGATCTCCTCCGGGGTAGAGCGCCTTGTGCCGGGTTGACTGGCAGATCGAGGGACGGATATGTCTACCTGGGCACGGTGATGGGATGACCATGCGGTCGAGTTGCATGATAGACTGACTGCGTGATAGACTGACTGCGTGCTAGCGGGGTGATCGGTTGGCGTGGTGGCTCGGGTGGCAGCGGCAGGCTAGGTCGAGTGATTTGGTTGACGGGTGACCGAACAGTTTGGTTGTAGGATGACCCAGTGGTGGTGTGACGACCAGGTTTACTAGTTGAACAGGTAGCCAGGTGGGCTGGTTGGTTGGGTGATAAAGTGGCCGAATGTTACTAGTCGTGGTGTGGGGGTGACTGGATGACCGAATGGCCAGGTGACTTGTGGCTGCATGGGTGTTTGTGTGTAAGTTTTGTGACACGAACACACACGGAAACAGGATAACAAAAATACACCCATTATCTTCACCACTGGGCACGTTATTCATGTTCCCCCCTCCCCTTTTTTTACAGTGTCTTAACATGTGGTTATGTTTATGCAGTAGATACATAATTTTATTATTATTATAATTTGCCAGGTAGCCGAGTGGCAGGGGTGACCATGTGCTCAGGTGGCCAGGCCAAGTCGTCGTCTTCGGTCCCAGTGCCTGGTGGTGTCTTGGCCCGACCCATGCGACCGGCGCGGCTGAGCGGTGGTGGATGTCACGATCACACACCAACTCTCGCGTGTTTTTTTGTGCTCCCCCGTGAAGCGGAGATTGATCGCTGCCTCAAGAAAGTGAGCGAAGGCGTCGAGATTTTTGAGGACATCTGGCAAAAGGTACGGCTATCGCACCGACGCGTTACTCATTTCGGCTTTGCACAAACACGGCAGAACGAAAGAACTGCCTATCACAGCATCAGTGATTGCTACAAAGCACAATTATTTGCACTTGCCGAAGCTTTCTGCTACGCCAACACTCCTTATGCAAACAAAACGTGAACACATTTATTTCATCCATTTACAATTGTTGATATGTATGCAATATATTTTAACGATGCCCTATGTTTGTAAAGTTTGATGTATATGTGTGTAACTACGTCTTGTGATGGAGTTTTGTTGATTCCAGCACGATCGCCTTTTCCAGGTGCATAATGCAGCCAACATCAACCAGAAGGAAAAGTATGAGGCTGATCTTAAAAAGGAAATCAAGAAGCTTCAGGTGGGAGTTGTGTTAGGAATGCGTCACATCTTAAGCTTTGCCTCGAATGCACAGGCGTCATATTCCGCTTTTTGCCTTTAAGCGATGCTTGCTAGAGTGGGTCTTTGAAGTAACAACGTTGCCAAATATACCGTGTCCGCATGCAAAGTATTGGGGGAAATTTTTTAAATCACAATCCCAGAACACAAAAATGTAATGGCGCACAAAGTAATACTTGTTGCTAGCTGTATCTCCACGCTGCGTAGAAATGAGGCAGGCCGTCCCAATTTAGTGCTAAACAGTAGTTATGGATGCATTGCATTTTACCTTCCAGATTTGGCCTTGATTTTTTCATTTTATATTTTTATAATATGGAAAGCATATATTACAGCATCTTGTACTTGTGTTAATTTGAAATGTTCGTGGCAATAATTCTGTTTTGTTAAAGTAAAACGGATATGAATTAGCAATGAATTTCGCGGACACGCTGTGTTAGGCATGTAACAATCGATTAATTCATCAAAGTTGACTCTTTTGCATGCATTTTGATTATTTATCTTTCATGCACATTTTATAGGGGGAGTGGTTGGTGCATATGGTTCGCGCACCACATCGTTAACATGGTGACTTGAGTTAGATTCCCGGATATGGCTAACATTGGCGAGTGGCCTCCCATTTTCTCTAACCCGCACTGATTTGCGTGGTTAATTTGAGTGAAACACCCCCCCAAGACTGACACATCATGAAGAGGCTGGCATCTAGCAGTAGAATGACAAACGACTAAAGCATTATTTTATTATTTTAAGCACACAATGTGCTTCTGTTACAGCTTTGGTAACGAAACGGCACAAATGAGATGCATTACAATAAACAAGACATCTAAACTGTATTCCATACCAATTAAATCATTGGGGGGCTGAATTGTTACATGTCCACTTGTTATAGTTTAGGATATGAGTTGCTCATTTAGCGCACGGCAGCCTTTTGGGCTGTCATTAGTTTGCAATGCAGGGATACTGCCGATTGCTTGCGTAATGACACTGCGTATAGAATGGGATGTCTTGTGGCGGATGTTGATTAAGGGGTTTGATTCACAAAGGATTTTGGACTTAAGTGAACATCGTGTGCAATACACGGTTTAAAACGCAGTCACATCATCACGCAGGAACTTAACGTTCGAGTCACGCGGTGTGTGACTAGGCTTGTGAAGTGATTGTAGATTTTAAGGCAGCAACGACGGGGCTCATCAGCCACCAAGCGGTGCGTTCCGACAGATGCAGACGTACGGCTGGGCATTTATTGTTAGAAATTTTGATGTGTGTGGCAAACCGATAATTGATTTTGTAGAATTTCTAGCATTTAATTACCCATGATGCAACACAACTAAATTAACAACCCTGTGTTTGACGATTACTTAATCGTCACGTCATTGCTCCTTTAACATCTTCAAAGGCCTTGGTTCCGCTCCCTTTTTTCTGCCGTGAGTGATCCAGTGTGAACCTAGCTTAGGTTGCCGTGAAGAGCCCAGTAGGTGTGCAGAGCAGCGTGTGAATTCTGCACTGATTAAGCAGCTGCAGGCTCTTTGAGTGGCTCTTGGGCTGTCCGTCATATGAGCTGTAGGCATGAGCGCAGGGCCAGGTGTATGTGAGAGAGACCCAGCACAATAATAATAATACTCCCGAAGCCTCATTTTCTCTGCCAGTCTCTTCATTCAACAATGAGAAGCCAGCCATAAATATGCTGTGCACTATGGATGTTTTTGGATGAACCGGAAAATATGCGGAATCGGTCCTGGATATGAAACAAACAAGGGGGGGAAATGTGCTTTAGAATTTGATCTGAAAATGTGACCTCGCAGGAAGTGACATGGCTTCAATGGTGTCATACACATACTTTTCTTGCCAAAACTGCCATCATGTTATGTGACTTTTGCTCATTATTAAAAGGTAAACAACAACAAAAACTTTAAGGCCACATTGACACCGTGGTCTTAAAGGTTAGAGAGTATAGTAGGTGACGTTTTGGGCAATGGCACCTTCTTCATTGTGCGTTAATAGAGACCCAAGCAACGGAATGGATAATAACATATACACACGTTCTTATCAAAAATGTTGTGTTTTTGTTGGAACTTTTTTAAGAGATGTTTGAATTATTTATTCGTATTTCAAGTCATTTAGGTTGTCACATTTTTCACGTAAAGAATGGAACGTGTCAAGCTTTAATACATTTTAATCCAAATATGTGAAATAAAATAAAATGTTATATCCGTAAAAATTATACCTGAAACTCATTCCATCCTCGTGTGCATGTAACGGATGCAACAATTCACTGACTGGGACGTGCTCCTCTGCACGCGGTGCACGCCTGAATCTTGTCTGAGAATATGTTATTATTTTGTGGATTATACAAATAACACGATTTACTTTTGGGTATTGAAGCAAAACTAATGTGTACAAATGAGACGGAGAAACAAGAAAACATTGCAAACGAGATGGTAAAATGTATTAAAGAAATGATTCTTGTATTGAATCAAAATCCTAAATTGTACAATTAATTGAATCTATGCGAGGGTGGATAACAATATCAACCCTTTGTCAATGCACTTCTGGATGTAGGCCTCCCTACGATATGTGTTATTCAATGGGTTTTTTTTTTTTTACCATCTCCCGCCACACTGGTCTGTGCTGCTTGCTGTGAAGTGGGGTGGTGGGTGTCCAGAACCGCTTCAGATATCACTTACCACTGATGTCAGTTGTCGCCCACATTTGACCTGAAGTCCCCTCGCCTGGTTTATAGCACAGTTGCCGCAGTTCCTAAACCATTGTTACATGCAAAAAAAAATACCCTGTTTAAACATTTTACCCGGGGATATTTGCCCCAGCAAATACCAACATTATCACGCTTGGCACACTGGTCGCGTGGAACGCCCATCCGACGTACTGCGTCGGCCTTGCTTGATGTGCAAATCGAGAATAAAATCCCAGCTCGCGACGCGCGCGCGTCTGTGATCCTCGCTGGAGCTGAGCTCGCCCTTCATGACAAAATGCCGCCGCGACACATCTCACCTACATCCGTAAATGAGATCACATCGCCCCCAATACTGAAATCTCACCCCCAAGTGGCTGCCAATACAATCCCGGATAAATTGTATAAGATCGCACCCGCACCGTCTTCAAGATGGACTCGCACCCTGCCCGCCTCTCTCCCCTCTCATCTCACTTTATTCTCCTCTGTGCACTCTCTGCTCCAGAAACCAATGCTTTCTATCACAGCCGTCGAGCAACCTTCCCTCGGTGGGAGATCGTTCTCCTCTGCTGTCCTCGTAGTCTGGAACTCCCCACAGCCATTCGTGTTGTTGACTGCCTGCCCCTTTTCAAGTCAGGGTTCAATACCTTCCTCTTCTCCTCTGCCTATGACTCAACTGTTTTTCTCAATAAAAACACATGCGCAGCGCCTTGAAAAGGCGGTCGAATTTACGCGCTAGGTAAATCCGCATCGTATTCTACATCGCAATGTACATTGTATTCTACCTGTATTGTAAATGGGTGCTTAAATTGTGATTCTCTACCCCTTGCAGAGGCTTCGAGACCAGATCAAAACATGGCTCACCTCCAACGACATCAAGGACAAAAGGCAGCTAATAGAAAACCGCAAGCTGATAGAGCTGGTGAGTTGGCGGGTCGCGCGTGGGGCGGCCGATTTGCGGCAGGGTGAGCACGACGCGTTCAATGCGCCTCAACCTTCCTGCCTCGAGCCTCTTCCGTGTGGCACCCTGTGATTAGCACAGCTGGCTACGTACGGTGCGAAAGAAGTCAACATACGTACGTATGTACGTGACGCGCCATCGGCTGCCGTGGCTCTGTTGTGGTCACTGCTCCTTTTGTTCTGGCCGCATACCAGCATGCATCTGCTTCAAACAAAGAAATCAATAACTCCGTAGAGGTGCGAGACGTCGTCGTTATTGGTCGTGTCTAGTACGAGAGACGCGAGCTCATGGTTGTGCTATTTGAATCGCTTGCACCCGGTTTGCGCTGCAAACGTTTCCAAGTGAACGTGGAGGTTTTGTCTCGGCCAACGTGATTTCAGAACTGAGTTTTGGGTGAGGCCACGACGTAAAGATCTGACCAAACGTCTTGTCATAGCACTCTCCACTACCCGGCCCAGCCAAACAAATTAAATTGTCACGTGGCAATATTTTTACGCTGGCAAATAAGTCGGTTGAAGAAAACATCTCGCAATAAAGTTTAGCGCAATTAGCTGAAAAAAACCCTTTAATATTCGTGGGAGATATGTTATTGGAGAATGGCAAGAATATTAAATCCGCGACTATTAACACTCAAAGCTTATGAGGAAAATAGTTAGGGGGCATAAAAATATATCAGTTTTAAACATATAAACTGTGTATATTAATGACCACATATATTGTACAGTTATTGTGTTATGTTACCTTTATTAATGAGCATAAACATTTAAAAGTGCAAATATATTTGAATGAATCAATATATTTCGATTTAAAGCTTTCGTGACTGCAGGGATTCATCTTCTTGGTTCTTTCGGTAAAGTCACATAGAAGGGAAATAATAAAAATAAAACATAAAATAATTCTCACGACGTTTCGGCCACAACCCAAGCAGCCATCCTCAGGTGAAGAACAGGTCTGTCAGACGCTGTCTTTCCGACAGACCTGTTCGTCACCTGAGGACGGCTGCTTGCGTTGTGGCCGAAACGTCGTGAGAATTATTTTATTATGTTTTATTATTTTATTATTTCCCTTCTACGTGACTTTACCGAAAGAACCAAGAAGATGAATCAATATAATGTAGTATTATTGAAACTTATCTTTAATGATGTCACTTCCTTTTTTTGCTTGGGGACGACGGTTAACATTAACACAGGAACGCTAATTCCAAAACATTGTAAAGGAAAGCACTGGCATGTAAGTAGAGGGTGAGCGACGTTGCGTGGGGGGAGGCGGCAACTTTTGTGCTCTTACGTTCTACGCCACTTCCATGCCTCGCTCCAAGTACGTACGGTGGTATTACTTGTCAGGTGGTCGCACGCTACGGCCGTAACTATTTAAAACCCAACCCCCCGCAAAATTCAAAGAGCACCCCAATAAGTGTCGGAAATACGCATTATGAAACCCACTCATATTAAGGTTTTACTGGACTGTACCAGATCGTTAAATGGCCTGAACCATAGAGCACGTATGACTCATTGATATTGGCTGCGATAACCTACACGTTAGAATTCGTCTTCCCGTCAATTCTCCAAAAACTCGTCGATTGTCCCACACCTTGTGTCCCATCGGGTGGGGGGGGGGCAGCAAATGGAGAGATTCAAGGTGGTGGAGCGTGAGACGAAAACCAAGGCCTACTCCAAGGAGGGGCTGGGCTCCGCTGTCAAGGTCGACCCGGCGCAAAAGGAGCGCGAGGAGATCAGCCAGTGGCTCACGGTACGCACGCACGTACTTTCGCACAGAGGTCGCAAACGGGTTTTGATTCCTTACCCGTACCCGGCCGCACCAGGGTCGCAAATGGGTGCCCGTACCCGGCCGGGTACGGGTACCCGTTCCCTACCCGTACCCGTACTCTACCCGAAATGAGTGACAAACGGTTACTCACCAGTGACTCCGGTTATCGGGTAGGGTACGGGTATCGGGTACCCGGTTGCGACCTCTGCTTTCGCACGCATCCCCCCATGCTGGCTCCTGCCGTACGACGCGCTGTTGTAAAGTGTTGTTGTCTGACGTGCTGTTTGTGGTTCTGGGTTGTTGTGATGCGTTGCATGGTGCAGTGTTGCACGTTGTACGACAGTGATTGAGTCCTGGGTATTGAGTGTTGTGGTATGACGCCAGGTTGGTCTGGTTTTGGGTGTTGTTACATGTTGTATGATGTGCAGCTTGTACTGGGTATTGTGACGTGCAGCCGTACGACATTGTGACTGTCTTTGGTTCGCGGTGTTGCGACGTGCACAATGCGGCGATTGTGCCATGTGCTGGGTAGTTGCACACAGATGGATTCTTGGCGAATGTGGTCGATCGACGCAGGCCTGCATTGTGTGGTTTACAAGACCTCCGATGCACGGCGCTACAGGAAATAGTTAATGCGCCAGGCGTCAAATATGGAGCTTGCGACGATAAATGGATTCCACGGTAAAATGAGAACCTTACCGTCGCAATGCATGTCAGATCGTGCATACGGGAATTAAATAAGTACAATTTATGCAAATCGAATGTGAGGTGGGTTACTAATGTGTGCTTCTCGTTGAGCCAATCAACAAAACACAAAATAGAGAATAGAAACGACATGGTAATTTTTATTTCGATTTAAAGCTTTCGTGACTGCAGGGATTCATCTTCTTGGTTCTTTCGGTAAAGTCACGTAGAATGGAAATAATAAAATAATAAAAATTAAACATAATAAAATAATTCTCACGACGTTTCGGCCACAACGCAAGCAGCCGTCCTCGGGTGGAGAGCAGGTCTATCGAGAAGACAGAGTCTGAATGACTCTGTCTTTTCGACAGACCTATTCTTCTCGACAAACATGTTCTTCACCTGAGGACGGTTGCTTGCGTTGTGGCCGAAACGTCGTGAGAATTATTTTATTATGTTTTATTTTTATTATTTTATTATTTCCATTCTACGTGACTTTACCGAAAGAACCAAGAAGACATGGTAATTGCCAATTAGTACAATTATTTACCCAGGAGTACCCCACTGAGTCTCAGGACTCCTTTTCAGGAGTCGTCCTCACTTTGTGTGGGAGGAACTCTGAGAATCTATGGGAAACCCACCATGCATAGGAGGGGGAAGATTGATGCTGAAATCTCTAGACAGATGGACTCAATAATCCATCACTGTACAGCCATATCCAAACTAACTATCTAACTATTTAAATTTGACCAGGTCAGTCCCACTGAGCTATATAGCTCTCATTTAGAAGCAGCATCCTGGCCCCAAATGATAGCTCAACGAAGTGGCTTACCATGCGGAAATGTATAGCAGCCAAATACTCTTATCCTGGCTATCCCATGTCTACAACAACGAGCCAGCTCTCTTGATCACCCATCCAATTCCTAACCTGGGCTCAATTCCGCTTGGCTTCTGAGATCGAGAGAGTTGCGGCACGTTGAAGGCGATTTTACAGGAGGCTGAAAGAGAAGTCGAGGCATGGCAAGAGGAATCGATTTTTGGATAGCATCACAACCCTCAAATCGTGACACCATGGAGATGTCCTGAACACACTTGATAACCCTCATTATGCAGATAACCCATGCTAGCTTTATCGAAATGCTTTACAATCCAACTTATTTAACAAAAGCTTACTTTGTCACACAATGAGACGTCGGGGGTCATCGAGTTCAATCCACCGCGAGAGGCCTGGCGTGTCGGGTGCGAGTGCCGGGTCGGGGGGGGAGGGGGCGTTCTGGCGGAAGCGGAGCACTTAGCCGCACGTCGCCGCCCTCAATTCTCTTACCGAGAGAGCCACGGCAGTGACCGTCGCTTGCCAAGCAAGTTGGGGCACCGGCGCCGAATGCGATGGCGCACCCCCTAAATGTGGCCCTCGGGGCACTCACGCCGCTCCCCCCACGTTCCCCATGTGGCGTGCCCCCCGTCGCTGCGTTTGGGGTTCTGCTGTCTTGTCTTTTTATTCTTGACGCGTGGCGCGGTGCCGTGAGCGAGTGAATAATGTGAAAAATGCCATTTGTGTAACGCTGGCTCTTTGCCCGATTTTCTTTTTCAGAACACCATCGACAACCTAAACATGCAGGTAAACGCATGCTGGGTTACTTTGTCGGATGCCTTCACGTACAAAAATGCTCGCCCGTTAACATTCCCTTGCTAACAAGGTGGAGGCCGCGCTCCTCGGGTCACAGCGCCAAGCTGGCACCGCTGAGAAGCTTGGGTTTGAATCCAGGTTTTGCCTTCCTCTGATTATGACTGGGTTTCAAGTGCAGCGAGTTGATGGTCTCAGCCCAATCACTGCACTTAACAACCCATCACGTTACATTTGGTTATGTACTTTACTTGGCAAAATGTTATCTTCGAGAATGACAAATCTTGGTTTGATTGCCACGTGCTGAACATTACTGTCATGTGGCTGGGCAGATGGGTCTATGCTGCTCTCTACTGTGTGGACCAGAGGTCACTTGAAGGGATGTCAGAGGTAGTTCTGTGGTATCCGCTTCTCTGGGCTGTTCTCCTGACACATCGGATCCTACTGCTGTACGAGAGATTTGAATGGATTGATTGTAATACATTCCTACACCCACGAGACATGCTTTGCCTTGTGTCTTGGGCAGTTCTCGCACTGGACTATGAAGCCGGCACTCTGAATTCGATTCCCGGCCACGGCGAACAATAGTGACGAGTGATCTCTGAAATTGTCCTAGACCTCTACCTCCCGACATTAATGTACAGTGTCATTGGTTCATTCATTTTAGCCCTAAAACATATTCAAATCGTCATGTTGAGTTGTGACAATTTAATCGATGTGACATCCTCACCTACACTCCTCATGCTTTTAGCGCTGGTTTATTTATTTTATCCCTGGGTGTTGGGAAAACATTTGATAAATTTGGCCATTTTTCTCCAGGCAATACCACTTTATACGAAAAGTTTGCAAATTTTGGATCTTCTTTATGAGAGTTAAATTTCGATTTAAAGCTTTCGTGGTTGCAGGGATTCATCTTCTTGGTTCTTTCGTTAAAGTCACGTAGAAGGGAAATAATAAAATAATAAAAATAAAACATAATAAAATACAATTCTCACGACGTTTCTGCCACAACGCAAGCAGCCGTCCTCAGGTGAAGAACAGGTCTGTCGGAAAGACAGCGTCTGAATGAATCATTCTACGTGACTTTACCGAAAGAACCAAGAAGATTTATAAGAGTTATCGTGGCTCTCTCGTTACAAATGCATTGCCCCCCGATTTTTGTCTCACCTCGTTCCTGCCATCTACCGTCGCCAGGTGGACCAATTTGAGAGCGAGGTGGAGTCGTTGTCGATAGTTTCCAAGAAGAAGAAAAGCGAAAAGGAGGTGAGAGCAGTGGGGAGAGCCGACGCGGTTAACAGTTGATGAGTTTATTTGTGTAACCAGGCGATGACACGAGAGACCGGGATAACCAGGCTCGTTGCAAAAGCGACCCGGGTCAGCACAATGGGAAGAACATAAAATCGATGGAATAAAAATGAGTACAATAATTAATGTTTTAGTGCTGTTTTCTTTAGCCCTCAGTTTTGGGAAACCCTTTGATCAATTTGACCATTGTTCCTCTGGGGAAAGTCACGAATACCAACACGACTTTATACTAAATTGTAGTCGAGATCATCTCGATGGGAGTTATCGTGACCCCCATGTTCGAGACCGATGGACGGAGCTGATGCGTTGATGCTTTCGACCACGACAAGCAAGCATTAAACATCTAAGAGTATTCCAAACGTGTCAGGGATTTTTTGTAACTTCCCTCACGCGTGTGGGTTTTCTCCAGGTACTCTGGATTCCTCCCACATGTATAAACATTTGTTAATTGAGTTGGTCAAACATCCAAACATAGGACTGGCAGAGCAATCACTGTTTCTGGCTGTCGCCTTGTTTGTCTTTGGTTTCCCACGTAGGCTTCCATGTGAAAACTGCGTGGTGCGTTTCATATTCTACAGCGTCTTCATCGGCAATTCGCACGAATGACGTGTTATAAAAATAAAACCTCATTACAGACAGACAGTCGGGCAGAGCTAACGTGTAAACTATAGTCCTTCGTTGGAAAGTGTAAAAAAAAAAAATCCGCAGTTCTGCGTGCACGACGCGACGATAGCGCTGATGCCGTGCCGGGCGGTACCCCGTCGCCCGTTGTCCCCTCGCGCCGCAGAAGGCCGACCGCGTAGAGGTTCTCAAGCGGCAGCTGGAGCGGCACCGCTGGCACGTGGGCAAGCTAGAGACGCTGCTCCGCATGCTGGACAACCAGACGGTGGAGGTGGACGCCATCCGCAAGATCCGCGATGACGTCGAGTACTACGCGGACTCGTCGCAGGACCCGGACTTCGAGGAGAACGAGTTCATCTACGACGACATCAACATGGACGAAATCGGTGCGCTCCCCTCTGTCCGCGACTCAGAGGTCGCAACTGGGTACCCGATACCCGTACCCTACCCGATACCTGGCTACCCGTACCCAACCGGGTACGGGTAGCCGTTTGTGACCCTGGTGCGGCCGGGTACGGGTACGGGTAGGCCGTGAGTCACTGGTGAGTAGCCGTTTGTCACTCATTTCGGGTAGGGTACGGGTAGGGAACGGCTACCCGTACCCGGCTGGGTACGGGTACCCATTTGCGACCCTGGTGCGGCCGGGTACGGGTAAGGAATCAAAACCCGTTTGCGACCTCTGCCACGACTCCCCGTCGCCACCCGTCATCCTATTTCCCTCACGCTCGCTCTCCTCTGCCTTTGCGCTCTCACCTCTGACTGAGTCCGTAGGTCGTCGTGTATGCGTGCGTAAGCGCAGGCGGTCAGATCCAGATGCTGACTTCCAGGTTTCTTACCTGAAGATGCTTGATGCAGTGCCAAGCCAAACTGTCGTCTCCGATTGCTAAAAATGTCGTGGAAAATAATCGGCGCATCATTAAGCGCTCGTGCAACCTGTAGCAATGGAATTTGTTTGGCTGCGTTGGGTGGTGAGAGGATTGCACAACAAAAATCTGGACGGACCTTTACGTGGCCCAATTTTAAACTCAAATTAAGAATCGCAAACGGCAATTTCAGAAGCACGAGGTCGTGCACATGGGAGAGCCGTTGCTGTACAACCGCGACAAACGGTGCAGTCCGGTGAGAACACGGCGGCCACCGCGAATGGCGCGTCTAAAGTGCCGCCATCTCGGCGCCTTGGCAATAGCCACGCTAGCGCGGTGCTGTACCGTATTGGCACCTGTGTGCAGTTGGGCAGAATTTATACGTTGTGCGCTGTGGAGCCGGTGAAGGTCTTCCCGCGTCAAATTCACGTGTTTGCATTTGTGTGTGTTTGTATGTGTGTGTTGTATGCGTGTGTGTGCGTCTGGCCGCGTGTGTCTGTATGCGTGCACGCGTGTGTGTGTCCGTGCATATGCGCACATGTGTGTACGTACGTGCATGTGCGTATGTACGCATGTGCGTACGTACGCACGTGCGTGTGCGTGTGTACGTGTGTGCAGGCCTGGCTGCGGTTCTGGCTACTTCTCCAGTCAGCAACAGCCTCAATGACGACGAAGTTTTTAACCAATCAAGCAGCACTCCGACCTCCACCACGTCATGTTCGCCCGTGCCCATCCCGAACGTGAGTCCATCGGCACACACCTCCCCTATCCACCCCGCGCTGGCTCGTCATCGCTGAGGGGGTCACCTTTCATGGGGTGGCCAGGATAAAACAAAACCACAATTCACGATGCAAACTGCGTAAGCATCATGAATTGTTGTTCGCCTGTGTTAATGTGTGACCAGTGACATCAACGGTCTTCCGTGGCCAGGGTGGCACCTTGGTTGTGGTGGGGGGTGGGGTGAAGATGTAGAACGCGCGCGGCGCCTGTTGTGTTGTGGTGGTTGCTTCCGGAGTCGCCGCTTCGCTCTCCGACGCGCCTGTGGTCACGTGGGCGGCGAGTCGCTCGCCCTCGACGGCTGAGGGGGCGGCCGAGAGTTAAACCGTCGCGCGTGGAACGACGGTTTATTTGTCGATGCTCACAATCTTGAGACACGCGTTGAATCGCGCGCGTGCGAACCGCTCGTTTTCTGTTTACGTGCGATGTGTGTGATGTGTTTTATGTAAACACTCGGGATGCTACAGTCCCAATGATCGCCAAAGCATTGAGGCACAACTGTTTCGTGTCCCCTCCATACTGGGTTCAGTTACCACACTGCAGGTCACAACTCTGTACTGCCCAGCTTTGGAATTCGCTCCTCTCATCGTCGTCTTGCCATTTGCTGCTGGCCGCTAGACACTTTGGGCCTCGGGGCCTGTGCTCGGCAGCTGCGTTTGATTATTGTGATGTTTTGAAATGAGACCTCGTTCAATTCGCGACTCCAAACCGTGACGACAGATTCGCGAGGAGGGCGGATTGTCGTGTGTCCAGGTGTTTGTGACCTTGACAGAGTCGGGGAGAGAGAGAGATGGCGGCGGTCTAATAGTAGCGACCTGTGTGCGCAGGAGAACCACGAAAACCACCACCAGGACAAGAGGAGGAGCAAGTCGACGGACAGCGAGTCAATGCAGGTACCCGACTGCCCCACGTCACGGAGATGGAAGCCACCTCGATAATTTTGATCAACTATCGCGAGACTTGAGTGCATTTTTTCCGTCGGGCTATCGTTCTTATAGCGCAAGGCGATCATCACGAAGGAAGGCGCTGCTACGTTTCGCAGGCACAGCCAGCAGTAGATTCACAGTAGGTGTGACGTTGCTGTGCGTGTGATCCCATTCGAGTCGTTTTTTCCTTTCACATTTGGAGCGTGACGGCGGCACACGACGGGCGACTCTTTTCGAATAACGTTGCGGAATCGTTGACGTCCGCTGTGAAGCAGATGGCGCTTGGTCATTTTACGGTTAATACACCCACAGTGTTAACCAGGGCAGCCTGCTGGATTTGAACCACGAACCTCTGCAACAAACATCGAATGCCCTCCCCCTGAGCTGCATCATCGCCCCGATAATTACAGCTGCTCACTAATATTCTTAAATTGGATGAGTGCAAAAGGCATGAACCTGACGATAATATCGGTGCTATCATGCTCTGCATGTCCCGCCACATCGCCATCCTGTCGTGTACATAACGCACACAGCCTTGCTTCACACCACTATTTCGAAAGTGTCAAAATTGTGGCCATATTATTTAGACGGCGATGAGACAACTGTGTCCCGGTTTTCATCGGTGTTAGGAATCATCAGTAGAGTATAGCCACTGCTCCACCCCCACAATGGGTGCGACATTGCAAAATAGAACGTGTATGTCAATTGTCAAAACTCCGAGTAGGTTCCTGCTCACGTGAGCATTGAGGAATTGGCTGCTTGTCTCCTCTTCTTGGTTCTTTCGGTAAAGTCACGTAGAAGGGAAATAATAAAATAATACAAATAAAACATCATAAAATAATTCTCACGACGTTTCGGCCACAACGCAAGCAGCCGTCCTCAGGTGAAGAACAGGTCTGTCGGGAAGACAGCGTCTGCTTGTCTCCTCTTTACTGCCCTGAAAAGCCAGCGGCGGAAATTCCACATTCCTTTGGTGGGGGCGATTCTATCCTCGGCACAACCACTGTTGACTTCCCCAGAAAGTGATACTCATTTTATCGAACCCGGGGGCAGGATGGTGAGTCAACCCCCAACCAGGATTTTAATTTGCAGCCTTCAGCTTGTGAGCTGCTAGCTCTGCCGCCAAACCCACCTGGCTGGCATGCCGACTGTACGCGTTTTGTAAATGCAGTTGATTTTCACGGATGCATGCGGTGTGTTTGGTTTTGCTGAATCTGACTCTGGTCGCTTGTGTTGTGTTCCCCACCTCCCCGCCCCCAAGTCTCCTGCGAAGGCGCTGTTAACGAAAGCGCACCACGCGACCGTCGGGGGGACGCCAGTGTCGCCCATCATCCAGAATACATCTGGGCGGACTCTAAGCAAATCGGAGAGCAGCGCGGGTGGCAGTGGCGGAAGTGGCGGTGGTAGTGGCAGTAACAGCAAAATAGGCGCCAGCAAATCATCCACGACGTGAGTGTGTATTTGCTATAAACAAAAAAATTCTACCATTTTCCCACAATTTTATTGCCCTGTGAGAGAACTCCTTTCAGGTGTCTCGCAGAGCGGTGCGTGACCGTTGGTGTTAGAGAACGGCCCACCGAAATGGATGCTCACAGAGCTACCTCTGAGATTGATTCGAGCGACCTCTGGTCTCGGAGTAATATTCATCACATGGTGGTCAAACCAATATTTAAACCTTGAGAGCTGGAAATTAGCCAAATAAAGTGCAGAACCGAATTTAACGTGTTTTTTTTGTGCAGCAATTGTCAACCCGGTTTAATCGCACATGGCTGCTTGTATAGAGACCCAAGATGATGGCAATGCCAGCGCCGTTATTACGAAAGCGCACGAGCGTGTCTTTTCCTCTGGCGTGGGGGCCAGGTGGAGAACAAACGACCGAACGCGCTCGCTTGTGTCCCCCCCTCCCCCCAGGAATCCTGCGTCATCGCAGGCGCCGTCAGGTCCCGCGTACTCCGCCGCCGTTTCGGGCGTGACGCCGACAACCGGCGCGAGCGGGGGTGCTGGCGGCCTGCCCGCGGGATCGTCCCCGGGGTCGGCAGGGGCGGCGCCGCCGGCGCTGTCGTCGTCGACGTCCGGCACGACGGGTGGCGCCAGCTCGGTGTGGATCACCAGCACCAACGGCCCCGGCGGCGGTGCCGGCGGCGGCAGCGGCAGCGCGTGGGGTTTGTTGGGGCACGGCAGCGGCGTTTGGAACTCGAGCGCCGGCGTGTGGGCGCTGAACGGCGTCGCGGGTGGCGCGACCTCGGCTGGCGGCGGCAGCAGCAGCAGCAGCACCAGCAGCATAGCGGGAGGTCCGGGGGGCGGCGGCGGCGGCGGCAGCGGAGGCAGCGGCGCGGTGGGCAGCGCGCCGTTGTCGCTGGCGCCGGGAGCGGGCAACGCGGCGCAACCGAGGCCGGGCTCGGCGAACCAGGCGGCGTCCGCGGCAGCAACTGCAGCGGCCGCTGCAGCGGCGAGCAGGCAGCTCAACGGTGCCAACAGTACGTGCTGGCGGCGGGCTTCTCGATTTGATGAATCGTCGTGATTTAAAGTCAAGATTTGACTCATGAGTTGATGATTTTTGCCTTTACTGTGGTGGTGCATGTGAAATCAGTCGTGTGGTGCACGACGATTTGTTGAATGATCACGATTTATTTCTTCGTCTTATTTATTAATGATTCTGTCTCATTGGGTCCATTATTAGCTTAAGTGTCTTTGACACATCATCATCATCAGTCGGAGAGAGACATGGAGATGCACGCACGCTTTAGGTATACGTACTGTGGTGTATTTTCCAATTGTCCCTCGCAGATCTCGTGTCACCAGGTGGATGAATTTGTTAAAGGCCCAATAAGCATGGCCTAAACTAGACGACGTCTTTTCACTTGGGAATCGTCAACTCCGTACATAACGAGCAGACTCCCGTTCATTCCTCCGAGTTAAGCGGCCACGTTATTACCATGGCCGATTCGCAAGCGGCCTTTGTTCTTGTAATCGAACTCTTGACGGTGTTCATCAGCGTTTTCTTTGCAGAGCCACGAACGTAAGCACGTTGCTTTTAATACCCATCATGAGCACAGGCCCAGAGGACAAAAACTTCAAGCGATCAGCAACAAATAGCATTGTCAAAGTTGCAGTAGATAAAGAGCGTAAAGTTTTCCTTGAATTGAGCAGGATGGTTGCATGCATGTCTGTTGAACTTCTTTCGCACCGTACGTAGCCAACCGTGCTCATCGGAGGTGCGGGAGAAGGACAACAAACTTAACACAAAAATCGGTTAGAAAGAAATGAGGCTATTAGCGTGAGAGCTTCGGGGAAAACGACGACGGTGGGAGGATGGAACTACAGAGTGGAGCGGTGCGAGGGCGGTGTGGGGAGCGAGTGTGTGTGTCTGTGGGCAGCATATGTGTGAATGAATGAGCGTGCAAGGTGAGCGAGCATGCTGTGGACGGGAGTCGTCGTGGTGTGCACGGAGGATGCTATAGAGCGACTTGGCGGGGACCGGATGAGCAACTTGGAAGTTTCGTGTCGCCCGCCCTCCTCCCGCAGGCTACAGCTCCGTGGTGGCAGAGTCCCGGGAAGACTCTCCGCAGGTCGTCAACTCGGACTCGCCGAGCAGCCAGCCCAACGTCGCCCCCTCGCCTCCCCTCTTGTGAGTCGCCCAGCCACTCGGCTCGCCCCACTCGGCTCGCCCCACTCGGCTCGCCCCACTCCGCGCGCCCCACTCCGCTCGCCCCACTCGGCTCGCCCCACTCCGCTCGCCCCATTTCGCTCGCCCCACTCGGCGCGCCCCACTCCGCTCGCCCCACTCCGCTCGCCCCACTCCGCTCGCCCCACTCCGCTCGCCCCACTCCGCTCGCCCCACTCCGCTCGCCCCACTCGGCGCGCCCCACTCGGCTCGCCCCACTCCGCTCGCCCCACTCGGCGCGCCCCACTCGGCTCGCCCCACTCCGCTCGCCCCACTCCGCTCGCCCCACTCGGCTCGCCCCACTCCACGCGCCCCACTCCGCTCGCCCCACTCCGCTCGCCCCACTCCGCTCGCCCCACTCCGCTCGCCCCACTCGGCGCGCCCCACTCCGCTCGCCCCACTCCGCTCGCCCAACTACGCTCGCCCCACTACGCTCGCCCCACTCGGCGCGCCCCACTCCGCTCGCCCCACTCCGCTCGCCCCACTCCGCTCGCCCAACTACGCTCGCCCCACTACGCTCGCCCCACTCCGCTCGCCCAACTACGCTCGCCCCACTACGCTCGCCCCCACTCCGCTCGCCCCACTCCGCTCGCCCCACTACGCTCGCCCCACTACGCTCGCCCCACTACGCTCGCCCCACTACGCTCGCCCCCACTCTGCTCGCCCCACTCCGCTCGCCCCACTACGCTCGCCCCACTCCGCTCGCCCCACTCCGCTCGCCCCACTCCGCTCGCCCCACTACGCTCGCCCCCACTCGGCGCGCCCCATTCCGCTCGCCCCACTCCGCTCGCCCTACTCACTCCACTCACGCCACTATGCTCGGCGGGCGGCCCCTCGCAACGATAGCCGTTCTGCGCTTGTTTAGCCAGGAGAGCCCCAGTGAGTCTTATGACTCGTATTCAGGAGGGTCCTGCCAAGATTTTCACGTAGGAAGCGATGACTGCTGTGTATATTGTGGGGGGCGCATGGCAAGTGTGACCGTGTGACGTTGTGACGTGCCTGCGATTACGGCCATCGTTATGATCGTTGATAAAAAACTTTCCGAGGCGAGCGCATTTTGGAATCCATGCGTAGGCCTGGTTTTCCTTTTTTAATTAGGTTTTTTTATGAGTGTTCCTGCGAGCCGGCTCGTTGGTTTGTGGTCGCTTTTGCCGTCGCTAGAAAGGAGACGCCGGACGCCATCGCGGCCCCTCCTCCCGCGAGCCCCGGGCCGTCGTCGTCGGCGGTGGCGTCGGTGGCGCAACCCAGCGGCCCGCCGACCTTGGAGAGCCCCGACCTGACGGAAACCAAGGCGAGCTCGGAGATGCGGAACGGGCCCCAGAGTTACGGGGCAAGCCCCTCACCCGACCATATCACCAAGGTGAGCCACGGCGGGCACTGCACGTGCACACACGTGCGCACCACAGGCACGCACCTGTATACACACGTGCAAACGCCCCCCGTATAGCCTTTAACAAATGATTAGGGCAAGTTTTGTTAGCGAGTAGCACCTATAAAGGCCGACACGGCACATCAGGGGGTGGGTGGCCAGCTCCATGCCCATTTTTTACTTGATACAGCAAGCGTGCTGTGACAGTTCCATCTGAAGACAGAGGCTTGTGTTGCCTCCGAAACGTCGTGATTTTTATTTTATTTAACTTTAATTAATTTTAATTTTTTACCTACGTGACTTTACCGAAAAAACCTAAGAATATAAGCTCCATGCCCGGCTACCTTTGTCTCCTCGGTGGCGATGTTTACACTGCACCAGGTACTCATTTTAGTCGACCGCTGGGAGGGCCAGGACCGGTTCAGGTAATTGTCACCAGTGATGGCCGTGAGTGGGAATCGCACTTGAGTCTCCAGTTTCGTAACACTGAGCGCTAACCGATGCAGTTCCACTCCCCACTAGCATGCACAAGCGCTCACCTGCATCCAAAGACAAAGATCCCCTGTATAGTCTTAACAGACTGTCGGGGAAAGTGCTGTTAGCGAGCACCTATAAAGGCCGGCACGGCACACGAGGGGGTGGGTGGCCAACACCACGCCCGGCCGCCTTTATCTCCCCAGTGGCGATGTTTACACATCGCACCAGGTACTCATTTGCGGCTGAGTCGACCTAGGGGAGGCCCAGGACCGGTTCAAATGATCATCACTGGTGTTGGCCGTGAGCGGGAATTGAACCAGGTTCGTAGCGTAGCGCGCTAACCGCTACACTACCGCTCCCCACACGCGTGCACGCACACACACACACGCTCCGCTTTATACACACATGCTCACTCATTCACCTCTATACAATCGCACAGTGACCAGTATATACATGCTCACACGTGCTCACACACCACCATTCGCAGCTTGGGGTGTCTTGGTAATTAGTTTAAAGGAGGAGGAATTATGAACTGTCGTACCTGTCCAGCGCCCCCCGATAGCCATCATGGTAGCCGTGAGCATGCCATGAATGAGAGTGAGTGCATGGCTCGGTGAGTTGAGAGTGTGCGTGTGTGAGTCTTCTGTTTCTCATGTCTTGCCACCAGTCAGATGTTATTCCAGTATAGGACATATGATATGGCTAGCAGTGGATAGACCATGGCACATGATACGGCTAGGTCTATAGCCTTGGCCAATATCTTCCACAGTGTACCACCACTCCTTCAGGAGCCAACAGTCCAATAGATGTTCCATGGCCTGCGACACACACAGACACGGATGTGCACCGATTTTATCTTGTATGTTCCGATGATTTTAACTTTGTCGGCATCGAATAATCGACTTAAGATTTATGCTTAGGCTCGGGATACATGCATGTAATTCTGCCCAGAGGAATCTGTTAGCGAGTGACCGAACTGAATGAGTAAATACGACTTTACGTTGAATTTTTACCACACGCTACATACGTGTACAACCACATTGCTGCGTAGAGGTGCCCGTGCACTCCACTTGATGCCGACTCAGCGCACTGTCCGAGGGGCCGCGACATCGATGCGACGATGGGGAAGGGGGAGCGTCTCTGTTGTGGTGGAGGTGTGAGACGAGACGGGGGATTGCTCCGGGAGGAGGAGGTGGGGAGCGAGGGGGGATGGTGGGGGGCGGGAGGTGCGATCTGGAGGGGAGGGGAACAGAAGCGGGCAGATGCGGCCGCTTGCTGCTATCGTTCTCGTCAGGGAGCAAGCGATGAGTCCGTCGGCCCCCACCATCCTCCCTCGGTGAACAGCTGCCCCCCCCCCCCTTCGCTAGCCCCCACCCCGAGAGGGCTCGATTAGGGCAGAAGGCTGGGAGGGTAATGGAGACGCCCCCAGGGAGCGAGGGTCAGAGGCTGCGAGGGCCACGCTGTGGCACTGGGGCACGAGGTGCACGGGCCAGGGGTGGTTGTGGGGGCCACTGGTGAGAGGTCGGGGGGCTGTGAGGGGTGGTGATGGTTGTGGTGGTGGAGGAGGAAGTGGCTCGGGGTTGTGGGTGGCGGTGGGGTAGTGGTCATTCGTGGTGGCGAGGTCAGTGGGGGGTTGTGGTGGTGGAAGTTGAAGGGCAGCGTCGGGGAGGGGGTGCCAGAGAAACGATTCGGAATAACGATTTGATGATGTATTCTGTAATATTTACTCAATTGAACCCTTGGCGACGCGTTAGGAGATGAAGCGTCCGTTTGGATCTCTCTCGGAGCAGGGGCAACCCCAATGGTGGAGAGCAGCCCACAGAAGTGAATAACGCAGAGCTACTCTGGGCCACAACAGTAGAGGGCAGCACTTTCTTGATTTCGCCATTGATTGTTTTCGTCTCATTTGTATTGCGCCTCCTTTGTCTTCTGTCTCGTTTGTACCACCTCGTTTGTTCCATTGCCGCGACAAAGGATTATGATTCGATTCGAGAATACCATTTTTCGTCTCTCGTGCCATCTCGTTTGTGTCCGCTGCCTCTCTCATCCTGTAAGTATGGCTCATGTTCGCTGCCTCCCCTCTCATCTGGAGTGTGTGCCATTGTCGGAACTGCGTTTCTCATTAAATTCGGCCGCTATCCTCGGCGAAGCACGTGCGTGTAACTTGTACGCGGGGTACACGGTCGATCCGCACGAGCATCATCCCGTCGTCGCGAGCGTAGGAGTGCATTTCATTTGGCCAATGGGTGCACGCCTCGGGGAGTGCGAGCTATGTTATCTGGTGCAGTCCCTGGAGACGGGATGAGAGAGGCATCCGAGCGTTGGAATGTCGCTTGTGTTGGAATGCCGACCGCCGTCGATTCTCAGTGGACAAGTTGGGTTTGGTCCCATGCAATCTGTACGTGCTACGTCGCCTTGTCCCCCGATTCAAGAGGATTTGAATTAAACCGTCCCCGTCAACCTCGTTATCGGCATCAAATATTTATTTAGGATTTCTTAGAATCAGACGAGCCAATTTCACGTGGATTCGAGAACGTACGCAATTTAGGAACATAATGTTGCATGCTAGGGCCGGTGATCGAGGCTCATGACAAAGTGGCAGCCAAAGGAGGGAGCACACCCACAAATACATCAGGTGCGGAGACGGAGCAGGCGCGACGTAGTAGGCGATGGCTCGGTGGAATCCTTCATCCAGCAGTGGATTGATCATGACTGATATTGATGTTAATGATCAGATCCCATTGAGACCAAAGGTCTAGTTGTCGAGGGAGACCTGGGTGACAAGGCAATGCAGTTCACATGTAAACAAATCCACGGCCCGGTCGATGGGAGACCGTGCGGGAGATGCTGCGTTGCTGCCGACTTCACAGAGAGCGCCAGTGCGCACATTAAGTCACTCCCGTGGGGCACGGGCGGCGGCGGCGCTGGTGAAGGAGTGAGGTGGGTTTGGATTTGTGGGGGGGAACGGGGAAGGGTGGGGGCTGTCAGACCCCGCGCCACTCAGCTGTCCCTGTATTCCTCGTGTGAGCTGCACGCCGGCATTCCGCGCATTCGCGCCAAAATAGCCGCTATTCGAGGCACGTGGGCTCGCTAAGTACACGGATTTTCCTCACATCGCCCGTCACTGCCTCCTCCACCGTGGCGGTGGTGGCGGTCGCCCGTCCTCTCTCCCCCGTAGCTCCTCTCCATTGTCAATTTCTGGCTCAGGTGGGCCGGAGCCGGGGCAACGTCTGTTTGTTCACGCGGAAACCCGTTGTGATTGCCGCCCTCCTGGCTGCTTCACTCGTAGCGAGCCGCCACTGTTCATTAATGTCGACCTCCGGTCATCGTTGGTTCTTGCGATGCGTCCTGCCAGAGTCCGCTTACTGACACCCGCGTGTTCCTAGTTCAGCCTCGCCGTGTACATTCCCAGCGTGCGACTATCGATGCTTCCGCCTTGCAGTCTTCATCTGTTAGATTTCATTGTCAATGTCCGTGCTTCTGGTGCATGTCACAGCCGATGACGCCCACCGATAGAGGGGGGGGGGGGATATTGCTTTGTTGCTGGACAAGATCAAAACCAGATTTCCAAAGAGCACTCCATCTTAGCTCTCTTTGGCCTTGTTTCATTAATTTTTATTGCAATCTGCTTTCAATCATTGCCCTGGGTGTTTTCCAGTTGTTCCCCCCAACAATTCCTTTCTCTTGTTTACAATACCACATATGTAGCACACAAAATGCGCATATCCTTCCCCCCCTTCGTCTCCCCAGTGCTGATGTTGGAATACATTTTGCCACGTTGAACGTCGGGACCAGGAGACAAAGTCCGTACGATGTCTCTAACTTGCATTTGCTTCTCCGATCCATCTCGCGTTTGCCCTGAGGTTCTGCCCGAGTCGTTTTGGACGCGCGTGGGAATAGGGCGAAGCGCGCGGCTTCTTTGGACGCCTTGTACGGCATACGTGCCATATCGAATCGGAACGCTCTGTCCGTCCGTCTGTCCGTTATTTATTTATCTGGAGATATTTCCTGCTGCTTCGCATCCTCCGAGATACGCCGTCTCATTTTACAGACGCGTCCACGCAAGTGCGTTGGACAAGAGGTGGAAAATGTTTTGCTCGTGTTTGTGGAGTAGCCAGGGAAGTATGGCATGGACAGGGCCTGTCCAATCGGAATGCTCCGTCCCTCTGTTTGGGGGGGGCGGTGGGCGGGGGGAGCGGCTTTTAGCTATTTTTCTGGCGATATTTCCTGCTGCTTCGCATCCTCCGAGATGCGGCGTCTCGTTTTACGGACGCGCACACAGACGCAGGCAGAGGCACGCACGCAGCCTCATTAGACGGGGGATGGAAAATGTCACGCGCTTGTTTGCGGAGCGGCCAGGGGAGAGGCGTTGTTCGGAGTTGTCGGCCGGATCGGCGTGCCGGGCCATGCCGTGTTGGAGCCGCCGCGGGAGGTCTGCGTCATCAGGTGTCTCGCGGCCCGAGCAAGCGCGCGATGCCTTCTGTGCCTTCCTGCAGAGGGAATCCAACTTGAGTTTCCCCAATCCCCAAGAGGGCTTCCTCGCACTGACCAGGCCTGACCTCGCTAAGCACAGTCGTGCAACAATCGCTCATCTCCTCCCCCAAATCCACTCGGTGAATTGCCACGATTTTTTAAAATAATCGTTAAAAGAAATCTTATCTTAATTGCACCATTTTGATGGTGTTGTGACCTTTTCATTCTGTGTTTTGTCTCATTTGTGCTGTCCCGCTGGAATGTTCTGCCTCGTTAGCGCCATTAGACTGAATGGACCTTAGTATATAGTATCAAATTATATGTTTTACATATAATTTTGATATGTTATTATTGTCATAGTCAGCATTCATCCATCCACTGTTGGAAAGAAGGCCTCCCCAAGTCGTCACTTTTTTATCGAGCAATCTTTGTAGCTCCAGTTGATCTCTGCCATCAGTTGATCTCTGCCATCAGGAAGCGGAATTTCCCCAACCATCGCCCATTAGCCGTATTTCCCTCTTAGGGCCACAGTGTTATTGACAAATGAGTTTGTCACTTTCACTGCCAATGCAGCATGACAAAAATCTGATGGATTCATTGGTTGGTGGTGCGTGTTCTGGGCTGCTCTCGTACATTAATTGGTTTGTGGTTTTATTGACCCAGGAAAACTTTTTTGTCATCTCATTTGTATTGTTCTTTGAATGCTTTCCAACTGAGGTTTAAAGCCTTTAATGCATTAGCTTCGTCCGTTCATAACCGGGAAGGAGGGGCACGATAACCCTCGTAAGTTCGATCCGACGTGAAGTCGGCGCGAGTGTTGGGTTTTGTTGCTGTTTGCGACTCGCCCTGTAGAAAACCGGCTGAATCGTTACGAAGCGTTTGGCGAAAATCTTCGGCCATGAAGTGGGGTGGAAAGGGGAACTCTTTGAAAATATGGAAATGCATTTTGCTCTGACTGCTACGTGTCCGATTCCCTACCACGAATTGAACATTTCCCAAAGCAAACGCATAACTGAAAGCGCGACATATTCCATGCATATTCGTGATTTTTCTGACTCACGTTTTGTGTCTTTGGTACCGTTTTACTTGTTCGAATGAGCAAATCTGTTAAATGGAGGCTACCTCGTTCATCGCGACGTTAATTTAATTGGGCACCGTTGGCTTGTGGGTGGAAACTCAGTTGGTGTTGTCATCCACAGGAAGTCTGTGCAAGCAAAAACCTGAGTTAAATTCCCAGACGCAACCTCCACTAGTCATGGGTGATATCCAAACCGGTCCCGAGTACTTCTCTTGGTCGACTCGGCATTAAATGAGTACCTGGTTCAGTGTGTAAGATTACAGTGCCGGGTCGATAATTGTGGCCAGGCATGGTTTGGCCACACCACCCAATCTCGCACCAAGCCGGCCTTATTCGCCGGGCGTTAACAGCACTTGACCAAAGAATCCACGAATAGTTCCACGGAGGATCTTTATGTTTGTGTCGCCCACAGGACTCGCTGAGCTCACTGAAGAGCATGGCGGAGAAGGCTGCAGCGGAGGCTGGACTCGAGGGGCAGATGCAGTCGCTCCACCTCACGGACAGAGGTGACACAGCGACCGGAGTTCCACACTGGCACACATGCACGCCTCTCCCACACTAACACCCATTGTTCCACGCTCACACCTGGCCCCCCGTACTCACATCCCTGCCCTCCACTCTCACACCGTACTTGTACAGCAACTTCACTGCTGTAAGACAAGAGTCCACAGGGAACCAGAGGTCGCAACCGGCTACCCGATACCCGTACCCTACCCGATACCCGGCTACCCGTACCCGGCCGGGTACGGGTTCGGGTAGCCGTTTGCGACCCTGGTGCGGCCGGGTACGGGTACGGTAGGCCGTGAGTTACTGGTGAGTAGCCGTTTGTCACTCATTTCGGGTAGGGTACGGGTACGGGTAGGGAACGGCTACCCGTATCCGGCCGGCTACGGGTACGGGTACCCATTTGCGACTCTGGTGCGGCCGGGTACGGGTAAGGAATTAAAACCCGTTTGCGACCTCTGCATGGAACCAAGGATTGCACCGTGCATCTCCAGGTCCAATCGATGGCGTTTAAAATAAATCGACGGCCGCACCATTCCTGACCCCGAATGTCGCTCTGTAGCGATCCGCAGGCCCAGGGTGCTGGTCAAATGTCCAATCCTCGTAGCGCCGCCAGTGCCACTGTCGCAAAGATGGGCACATTATATTAAAATTGCAAACTACAAGAGTGATTTCGATTTAAAGCTTTCGTGACTGCAGGGATTCATCTTCTTGGTTCTTTCAGTAAAGTCACGTAGAATGGAAATAATAAAGTAATAAAAATAAAACATCATAAAATAAGTCTAGACTCTGTCTTCTCGACAGACCTGTTCTCCACCTGAGGACGGCTGCTTGCGTTGTGGCCGAAACGTTGTGAGAATTATTGTATTATGTTTTATTTTTATTATTTTATTATTTCCATTCTACGTGACTTTACCGAAAGAACCAAGAAGATACAAGAGTGATGTGTTAACCTTGATGCAAATGACCAATCAACCCTGTCTCGTATAATTTAGATACAAATTATCAATTATTCTTCTGTTTGTAATATAGATACCAGTTGCAATTTTACGAATGTGTTAACGTAACATATTGCAATCGTATATACACAATTAAGATCTTGTCCATCGTCGTCAGACGTAAAATAAGACTATTTTCTGCCGTTCGCTTCTTCGTGTCGCTTGAGAGTTAGCGCAGGGAATCGTGTATTTTTGCTTTGGCCCGTGGCAGGCTCGGGATTTGGGGAGGGGGTCAAAGGTCGGCGTCCAGGCTGCGGCGCTGAGTGATCGGGCCACGATCACAGAGGGGAGTGGGCCCAGTGCCCAAACACCACCGCAGGGCTTAATTAGCGAAAACGCGGTGGGATTGAAAATATTCCAGGAGTTTTAAAATACAAGCGGGGTCAGAGTTTGGCCGTGGTCCCGGGCCCTGTTGGGCACGGGAAGAGGTCAGCGAGCTACAGGGCCGACTTGTATATTTTTTTGTGTAATTCCCGGAGTCTCTCGAATTATCCCTGGCTCTCTGTAGCCGCTAATAATGGAGTGAACCGTGCAGCAGCGGTAGCAAGCACTGCCGTTTGCATTGCGGCGATTTCAGCATCATCGCTTTCTAATTTAGTTTCAATATTTTTACTTTTTTACTGGGCGTGTAAATGACTTAGGTTTCTGAAATATGGCAACACCGAATGGTATAACAGCCGCGATAATTGTATTGTCTGTTTGGCAAAAATATACTGTTCCCAATGGTGATATATATATATTTTTTCTACCAATAAAATATTTCCAAAATGTTAAACTACTGGAAGTGCAGCCCAGCATGAAGATAAAACTAGGGAATTTGCTGCCGAATTTCGGGTTAAATCCCAAAAAAACTAAATCTGGCCCAGATAGTAATGTTTGCATGATCCGCTATTTTATTTCAAAAGGTGAAATACACCCACAGAGTTATGGGCAGGTGAAATCGTGAAAGTCGACATGTCGTGAAACTTGTTTTCGTTTCGTGAAAAATGACATCAAGGCAGCCTGACTAACAACGTGTCAGTTCCTTGACGAACATGTCCATTGTCACCATTCCCACGGTATGCTACGATGCACCGAATCATGTCGCCTTCCGTTCCATTTTCCGTGGGTGTATTTCGTATGTATTTGGTTGCTGTAAATTTGTATTTGCCTGTACGTCACCACACAGTCTGCCGGTGCACACCGTGCCACCCAAAAGCTGTCATGTGACCGCCACCCACCCCTCACCTTCTCATGTCGCCCCCCCCCCCCCCCCCACTTCATGCAGACCTGTTTGTGGGCCCGGGCCGCCCTCCCAGCCCCGTCACAAAAGAGGCCCACGTGCAGCCGTTGCTGGGCGTGTGCCCGCTGGGTGCCACTCCGCTCGGCAAGGATAACGTGTACCAGCAGGGCATGCTGGAGGCCTCTTGGAGGCACATGCCACATCCGTCCGACGCCGAGAGGCTCAGGTGAGGCCGCTCAAGTGGTGGTGCTGTGTGCCAGCGAGGCGCTCGCCTCGGAAAGAGGGGTCAGGGGTGAGATGGTGAGGAGAGGATGACGTTGGATGTGATCTGTGCAGGTTCGCGTGTCTGGTTGTGTGTGTGTGTGCGTATGGTCGTGTCTCATTGAGCTTCTGCTTTGTGTTGGCATGTGTACCTGTGTGTGTGTCTCTTATGTATGCGGCTGTGTGTGTGAGTAGGTAGCGTAATTGTTAACGGCCTGCACTACGAACCAAGCGACTTGAGTTCGATTCCTGCTCGCGGCAATCATCAGTGACGAATGTCTGACCTGGACCTTGACCTAAATATAAGTACCTGGTGCAGTGTGTAAACCTTGCACTGGGGATACAAAAGCGGCCGGCCATGATGCTGGTCGCGCAAGCCCGTCGCGTCTCGTGCCGACCTTCAGAGGTGATCGCCTTAACAGCACTTGCCTCAAAAGTTTGTTAAAGCTAAACGGCGGCGGATCTTTGTGTTTTGTGTGGTGCACGCAGGCACTACCTTCCCCGGAACCCGTGCCCGACCCCATCGTACCACCACCGCGTGCCACCCACCCACTCGGACACGCTCGAGTTCTACCAGCGACTTTCCACTGAGACACTGTTCTTCATCTTCTACTACCTGGAGGTGAGCGCCCGCCGCACTCTCACCCTCACTCGCTCGCTCGCCCGCCCACCTGCAGGCACCCACATGCACACGCCTTTGCGCACACTTCTGCATGGGCCCCTGCTGACTGACTCGTGCCCCCCCACCCCGCCACCCTCGGACTCCCCCCGTGTTGCGAGCAGGGCACCAAGGCGCAGTACCTTGCGGCCAAGGCCCTGAAGAAGCAGTCGTGGAGGTTCCACACCAAGTACATGATGTGGTTCCAGCGGCACGAGGAGCCCAAGACCATCACGGACGAGTACGAGCAGGTGAGCCCGCCCGCCGCCACGCAGCACCGCCACCACGTGCGTCAAACCACGCGACGATAAGCGCACGAACAACCATGTGCCAAAATGTACTGAAGCTTCGATACGCACGGGTACTCACTGATGCACGCACCGATGCGCGCGCCTGAACATGGTCGACACAGTTGCTACAGACAGAACATGCTCTCGATTTCCAGATAAAACCTTGCTGGTAAATCCGATAACCAGGCCCAGATGCGCAGCGCAAGACGATCCGAAGTTTTCGTTTGCTTTGGGTCGATGCGGAATCCTCCGGGAGTGACGTTGGTAACACGGCGTCACTCCTGCGGCGTCACTGTCACGGCGTCACTCCCGCGGGGTCACTCCCGCGGTGTCACGCGGCATCGGGTGACGTCGTTCTGGCCGGCACGTCGACACTCATTGAAGTTTGTGCCGAATGAACGCAATTCTGAAAATCTTAGAAAAGGTCAGAAATTGTCTTTAAAAATGTAAAACCTGCAGCGTTTAAGTCCAAAACTCCTCATCCCTAATCGCCACCATTCGTACCGCAGCTGCAATGCCGATCGCTCGGCAAGCCAACGATGGTGGAACCAATCGGACGCTCCAGAACGAGGACGGTGTAGACATTGCGGTGCAGAAGGAACGAGAATCGGCCCAGTCCAATAGCTGTTGATCTCGTGACCCAGAGTTGTTTTAAATTATATTTGTTTGCATCACCTTGGGCACCTCCTGCACGTGGAATCTCGATCAAAATCGTGGGGATTAACAAAGAAAACGCCAAAACAGCTGACAGCTGTGCAAAAAAAATCACGTGCAGAGATTCGTGCTGGGAATTGCACGGAGATTGAAAGAGGAATATGCAGATTAGAGAACACACTTGGGCTAATGACGTTACTCCATCAGTAAATGGAAGTGAGGCGGGCATGGGCAGGGGGTGTCACCGCTGGAATGGATGGATTTCCGGCATTGGTCGAGACTCACGACGCAGTGGCAGCCAAAGGGAGGGAATGTTCCCAAGAGGACGTGCGCTGAGGAAATGGAGCGATGAGATGGGCTTGTGTGCAGGCGCTAGCCGGAGCGTTACATTGCATGCTGGTGAGAGGTGGTGACGACTTGGGGGGGGGGGGGGGGGGGGCGGAGGCATTCATCCAGCAGCGGATTGATCATGGCTGATGAGGACGGCGGCGATGATGATGATGGAAATGTCTTAACAATGAACGTAAAAGTGCAGCCTGTATTTGTGCGTGTGTGTCTGTGTGTCTGTTGGAACGTACCGCGCGGTGACTGATGACAGCCGTGCGGTTTGAACGTTCACGCGTGCCAATCGGTAGGTTCGTTACTAAACTTGCACCGGGTTCGATCGTCGATTCCGCAAATGTGGAATCGACGATGGAGTCCGAAAGCGACGATCGGTATTTTATCGATGAACGACCCGACTCGAGACCGCTTTCATTTGTTCGTCCAGTCCATTTCAATTGTCCTTGCAGTGCCTGAAAATATCGTCTGTAATTTAGTCATAAGTTAAGATGGTGTGTGGGTCCATTAAATTAAACTTTCCGGGTCAGCTGTCCCACAACTTTGGTGCCAAAACACCAAATGACCGTTTGTTAATATAATTAATTTTAATTGCCGTTTCTTGTAATATCATTGTAATTTATACAGTTTGGAACATATATATTCATCCACATATAAATACATGCACACACGCAGGTTTCATACATAAGACTTACATGTACAGATACATTGCATACATACACACACACAAACGTATATTACACACACACACGGTATATTATTTTAAAAGCGTGACAGCCCATTGGGGAAAGCAAGTCTATAGCAAAGGAGACCTGGGGATGTAAATAATTGAAAGCATGGGATAAACGTGAAGTTAAATAACTAAGCGGATGAACATAGGCCTCTATGGAGATGGTGTCCTCAAGCTGCCCCTCACCAGTCTAACCGAGGAATTCAAGTGTGCAAAAACCAGGCTCCAGATGACACTGAATGAATCTCGAGACCCAGTGGTGAGCAACAACGCGCCGACCTTGGCAACTGGGCGCAAATGGAGGCCAGGAAAAGCAGTCCAGGAGGCAACAGCAGCCCTCAGACATGCTGACATTGTGGGTCATGTTCAGCAAGGGAGAGGAGGCCTTGGGCTAACTAGCCGTGCTGCTTGGAGTAAGGCCACTGCACCAGAGCGGCGGAAGATGGTAGTGCAGGAAGTACGCCATCAGGAGGAGGCTGCAAGGTGGGCCAAGGCAGTCTCTCTTGCCAAACAAGGACAGTGGACTCGATGGGACAGTGTGGAGAAGAGGAAGATCAGCTGGAAGGATCTGTGGGCCACGGAAGCGAGGCGGTTGAGCTTCTCCATCAGAGCAACATATGACATCCTTCCAACACCAGTTAATCTTCACCAATGGTATGGTGAAGATCCGGACTGTGCCCTCTGTTCCATGCCAGCCAACCTCAGGCACATTCTCACAGGGTGTAAACAAGCCTCACCCAAGGACGCTACACTTGGCGTCACAACCAAGTCCTTAAAAACCTTGCGTCCGCCCTGGAGGACAAGCGATCTGCCACCAACTCCCTACCACCCCCAGCAGCATCACACCCCTTACGGACGACCTTTGTCCGCGAAGGGGCTAAACCACCGAAGAGCGGCTCTACACCAATAGAGCGAGACCAGCTGCGCTTGGCCCGCGACTGGAAAATGCTAGCTGACATTGGCCGGCAACTTGTGTTTCCTCCGGAGATCGCAACCACCACCCTAAGACCTGACGTGGTGCTCTGGTCCCGTTCGCTCAAGAAGGTCTTCATCATTGAGCTCACAGTACCCTGGGAGGACTCAGTAGATGAGGCTTATGAGCGAAAACATCTGCGCTATGCCGATCTAGCTGCCGAAGCACGGCATCATGGCTGGAACACAGAAGTCCGACCAGTGGAGGTGGGCTGCAGAGGTTTTGTGACAACATCTACAACCAGACTGCTTAGAGACCTGGGAATTAAGGGCCAGAGCCAGCGTTCGGCAATCAAAGCTGTATCGGAGGCGGCAGAAGGCAGCAGTCAGTGGCTCTGGATGAAGAGGAAAGACCCCAGCTGGGCCCCAAAGTGAGAGGGCCAGGAGGTATGCAGTCAACAATGCTTGACTCAGGGAGGAGGACGCCCCTGCCATGCATAGTCCCATGGGATGTTGGCTACCAACAACAAGGCAACTCCTATGACTAATTGGGAATGGGACGCAAGCGTAGGATTGATCACCCTGTCGCTGGCCGCCTTTGGGGAGGGTGTATAGTATGAAAGGCCAAAACACCCTAGGAACCAAAGGGTCACTACTGACGATGCGCTCCCCAAATTTCACCAGGCTCACTGTTCATGAACTCTTGGAAGTGCTTGCACAAAGGATAGTAACATCTCATCCTGTGTTCTTTGGAACCTGCAAGAAGGATTATTTACAAATGAATCCCCACTTCCAACTTCACCTTTATTTTTAAAACTCGTGTGGCTGACAAACCGGGTGCAGGAGGCGTTGCAGCTCCCCTCGAGAAACGTTTTGAGTTTGAGCCCTTTCGGAGTCGTTCCTGCCTCCGTAATCAGTGTAGGGTTGCCAGTCTGCTACGTTTCATTTGTATTGGATTGCTAATGAGAGAAACAGAAAGAGGAACGCGTGGATTAGACAACGCGTGCGAGTTAGTGACGTTGCCATTGACCGCTCGTGAAAGTGAGCGGGCTGGGGCAGAGACACGTCACGGCCAGATGGGACGACGGGCGGCGGTAGTCGAGGCTGACCAATCGAGGGAGCGGGCGCTCCAGGGGCGCGTCCACCTTGGAGACGGAGCGATGAAATCGGCTCGTGTGCGGGCCCGCTGGGTGGATCGTTACATTGCAGGATCGTGGGAGATAGCGGCGGCTTGGGAAGGCCTTAATCCGGCGGTGGATTTATCGTGATGCGACGTTATGACGATAACAAACTCGGGCGCAAATCCCCTTTGGTTGACGTCCCGCTGCTGTGGCCGTGTGCACAGGGGCATTGCTTTTGGCCCTCGAGTTAAGAGCAGAATGACGGGACACACATCTTTGATTGCCGGCAGCAGTCGAGCGACGACGACGACGATGATGAAAACAAACATCGTTCGCTCAATTTATTTATAGCAACACGACGGCGATGACGATGACTTGACAACAGTTGTCATTCAGCCGTCCGTGAATAGGCGTCTCTCGCGAACAATCGCATCGGGGTACCGGTCACTCCGTGAAACGGGGTTCGCCGGCCCCCCCCCGCCCCCCTTTCCAGATCAGGGTCACTCTTAAAAACCCACGTTGCATTTCTCGAACGGGGGACATTGTCGTCGTGTGTCGTGGTTGAGTTTGTTGCCGTGTCGCGCATCCCCCCTTGTTTCGCTTTCGTTCCTCGATTTGCATGAGAAGCTCCCCCGACGCCGCTCGGGGGGGAGGGCTGCGGCGGCGGTAAAACCTCCCCTCTCTCACCCCTCTCTCTCTCTCTCCACCACCACCCCCCGCCCCTGTCTGTCGCCGTCCAGGGAACATATATCTACTTTGACTACGAGAAGTGGGGCCAGCGCAAGAAGGAAGGGTTTACATTCGAGTACCGGTACCTGGAGGACAGGGACCTGCAATGAGGAGGAGGAGGAAGAGGAGGAGGAGGCAGCGATGGAGAAAGAAGGCGTGGGTGGGGGGGGTTGGTGGTGGTGGTGGGCGGTGGACGGTGAAGAAGGAGGGCGACTTCTTTTCTCACCCGGTTCCCCCTCGCCCCCCTCTCCCCCCTCCCCCCCCCCCCTCGGGTGGACTTGCAGGGGGACCACAAACACTCGCTCGCCCGCCTACGTACACGCACACACACGCACTCACGCGCACACACACACACACGGGAGCCGGCACTCGACAAAGCCAGCATCGGATTCCTCTGGCTGTGGATTCCCCCCACACGCGCAGAGCACAGGGATTCCGTGCCGAGGATACCGAGCTTTGTTTTGTATATTATGTACTCTTTTGCTTTTTAAAAAAGAGAAAAAATTGTGCACATAATAATGTATGGGAGGCGTGACTCCTGTGATGTGTACATTGCTGAGAACACGAATGCAAGTATTTAGATCTTGTAAGAAATAATAAACTGTTTGTTCCTTTTGCAACGCGACGCGTCACGTCGTCGTTTCTTCGCAGCCCGGGGCCCTGCGGTGGTGGTGGTGCTCGCGTGGGGTCGTAGCCCCCCACCCCCCCCACCCCGGGCCCCCTCGGGCTCACGAATCCCCCGGTGCAGTTGCACCGCCTGCGCGCTCGGTAATCGCTACACCCCGCTGCTCGAGAGGCTGGGGTGGAGTGAGACGCGGTGGTGGGTGGGCCCCCACGTCACACCGATGCCACGTGCCCCCTACTCACGCCGATGCGAATGGTGGGAGTGTAAACTAACATCCCGTGGTAGCTGGAATTCACACCTGAATAGAAATCTGCGCAGCCTAGCGTCGGTCACGTGGCTACACGTGCACGCACGGCGCTTCGGTGCCTCCATTTTTGTAGTTTTTTTTCTGCTCTTCTCGATTTTGCGCTCAACGTCTCAGGGGGTTTTCCCGAAGGGAGGCGCGCAACCCTGTTGCTGTACCTCCCAGGCCGAGCTCCAGCTGCTCTGGGATGGCGGGGGCCGTGGAGCTGTTGTGGTGGGGTGGGGGGGGCGCGGTCCACCATGACAGGTTCACCGCTTAGTGAGAGAGAGTGGCCTTGGCTGGGCACAAGGGATACTTGGTGGTGCAGGGCCCACACCCCAGCAGCAGCCAGGCCCTGCGGCCGGCACGCAGGCCGGCCAATCTGAAGGAAAGGAAAGTGTGCCAGCGGGCGTTCTCTGTGCCAGTACTGCTGGTGCCAACCTGTGGCTGTGGTGGGTGAAGCTGCGAGCTTGCTGCTACACCGGAGTAGAATTCAGAGGGAAGCAGATGTCGGGGTGATCTGATCCAGCCCAACGCTCGCTGATTCTCTCCACGCACTCGCTGTCCGGCGGTCAGTCGCCTCCTTGTCACTCTTACTATCTCGCTACCTCCATGGATATTGTTTCCGTGAACTTCACTGCTTGATTCCTGCACCCAGGTCGAGTACTACCAGACTGACTGTTTCGTCTCGTTGGTCAACCCACCACCAGGCTGCAGGTCAATACAACGCTCATCCCACCCACTCGCCACGCGATCACCCGCCACACTATACGACACTTTCCTTTCTGCTCGTTTCTTACTGCTGCACTCATTCTTTCCCATCGTCTCGTTTCCAAAGCTCTCAATGATAATAACCTTGCTCAATTCAAGACACCCGTTACGCACCCTTATCCATTGCAACTTTGACGGTGCTGTTTTGTTGCTGCCCGCTTGACGTTTTGGGCCTTTGGCTCCCCTACCGTGCTCGGGCATCTGCTTAACAAAACAGCCGCACATGGGGGCTGTGTCCACTAGGGGGTGACACAGTCGCCCTCACGTCGTGGTGCTTGACAATGAGTCCAGGATGGGGGTGCCAACGGTGGCGAGAGATGTTAACTACCTCGCCTGGTATACAGGAGGTCGTGCGTTCAATCCCAACCCTGATGCCCTGTATATTTGGAGTGTGCGTGCCTCTCTTCCCCGTGGCCGTGTGGATATTTTCTCCAGGTCCTCCGGCTTTTCCCTCCACGTTTAGAATCGTACGTTTAGAGTATTTGGCTGCTATAAATTTCCACACAAGCCAACTTCGCTAAGCTATCATTTATGGCCAGGTAGCTTCTGAAAAACATCTATATAGCTCAGTGGCTTACCAACATTTTTATTTAAAAATTTATAGTAACCCTTTCTCGTAGGGAGACCCAGAGACTCGCACAGTAGAAGTAGCAATACTGCACAGGATTATGGCTCACGTCTCGCCGAGGCAGGCGACAGCCGCTCACACACAGCAGGGGTAGTGGACGGTAGCTCCCCGCGTTGTCCCGGATCTTCCACGACTTTCGACGGGGCCATGATCTACGCCGTTCACAAGGCCCTCGGTAGCCTCCTTTCGTTGGTGACACTCGCATAGAGACCCGTGGCCTCGGTACACAGACTTATAGAATCACAGAGACCCAAAGACTCGCATACAGGCCTTTAGAGTCACATAGAGACCCGTGGACTCGCATGGAGACCTATAGAGTTGTAGAATCACAGAGAGCCATGGACTCACTATGATACCTCCTTTACCAGTAGCAAAATATAGTAATAGGTTTTTACCCGTTCAACTGGTACAAAAACTGACACCCTTATACAAGGGATCAAGTTTGCAATAACCACAACACAAGCAGTCAAAATGCAAAAAAAAGCAACAACTCTGATAATGATATGCATATGCACTTGTCCTTGAAGTTGATTGGTCCACACCCGAGACGGCTTTTCTTAGAGCCTAGTCTCCATTGGTGTTGGATCAGATGACGCCAAAAGGCTGTTGTGGTTATTGCAAACATGATCCCTTGTATAAAGGTGCCAGTTTTTGTACCAGTTGAAAGGGTACAAATCTATTACTAGCCATGAACTCATTCAGACCTATAAAATCGCACAGACCGATTGACTCGCACACAGAGCCAGTACAGGATTCGGCGACACTGGTTGATGGTTTTTGGGTACACTTTGTCTCTCGGGACAGCGAGCGGCGACGCTGGGGCGGACACTTGTTGGGTGCACTCTGTAAAAGGCGCCGCCGCCGCCGCTCAACTTTCCGCCCCCGCCAAGTGAAAGCGCCGCTACTTTTGGGGTCACGGAGCCGGCGGGCCACCGTCTACCGGTGGTGGCGGGGTGGGAAGGGGGGTGTCGAGGTAGGGAAGGGGGATCCGAACGGGGTCCCACGGCTCTGGGGGTCTTGCCGGGCACGCATTCTCGACCTCTGCGTGCCGAGCGCGCCTCAAGGGCACCCCGAGCTCCGCTCTCGCTTTCCACGGAGACTCGGGCATTCCAAGGTGCCCGCCGAGACCCCATAACCCTACCCCTTGCTTCCTCCAACCAGCACTCTCACGGGGCTCTCCGGAGGGGTCTCGGGAACCCCGAGACCCCAGGTAGCACGTGGGCTGGATCCCCCAAACCCAGTGGTTAATCCTCCAAACCCAGTGGTTAATCTCAGCGCACAGTCCAAATCGGTCGCTCCACGGATGTTTGTTTGGTTTGGCATTTACATCCTTGACTGTGAACGCCAACGAAACCCGCGGTCAATGTAATTCTAACGAAGCCCGCAATTAAAACAACACCGAGTCCACGCGTCCGATTGTTATCGGCCTGTTGAAACGATGAAAGGAATAGAGCGACGTAACAGGTGCCCAAGCAAATTGCTCGTTCCTGTCCCCGCTGGCGGATAGGGCCTCGTCTCTACTAGAGCTTCTTCGTAGTCGTGTCTCCTGTCCAACCTGGTAGAGTCTTCTTCTTGGTTCTTTCAGTAAAGTCACGTAGAAGGGAAATAATAAAATAATAAAAATAAAACATAATAAAATAATTCTCACGACGTTTCGGCCACAACGCAAGCAGCCGTCCTCAGGTGAAGAACAGGTCTGTCGGGGAGACAGCGTCTGAATGAAGCACCCCAGGCTTGGAGCGTATATTTAAGCTGGGTTGGAGGGGGAAGAACCAAGAAGATGAATCCCTGCAGTCACGAAAGCTTAAAATCGAAACTGTAGAGTCTTGCCGACTGCTTTTTTTGTCCACGGGTTTCTTGGGTAGGCACGGTCGATTTAGGAGTGGTTAGTAGATTTGGCTTTCTGGGCAATGACCCTCCAGAAGTGACCAGCATGCACCGCGAGATGGTAGTTATTTGTGCCTCCCCTCTACTCACGTTCGCCAGACCTTTGTGGGAGAGGCGGTGGTGTTACCCACACTCTACCCCCTCCACACGTGATCCACTCATTTATAGTGGCGAGTGGACAGAGGGCGAGGGGGGGGAGGCGGAGGAATTTGAACGACTTGACCACAATTGTTTCAGCTGCCCGGTGTGAAAATATGTAATTAGGGGCCGCCCATAAATGACGTCACGCGATTTTGGACGAGTTTTTACCCCCTCCCCCTCCTCGTCACACGGCGTCACAAAAAGTCAGACCCCCCTCAAATATGACGTCACAAAGCTCTGCCCCCCCCCCCAAAACTATATTTCCATTTTAAAAATAAAACATGCTTCAAATCGCTTTAAACTATTGTCATTGTAGTGCGTATTTAATGTGGCGCTGCACTCTGATGTTGTAGGAATGTTGTTATAGGAATTAGTGTTGTTATAACAATTCTATATTTATTTAAAGTTGCGCATGTTTACGTGACGTCACATTTCTCAACCCCCCCCTACGTGCGTGACGTCATTTATGGACGGCCAATTATTTTGGATAGGCTTATACCTTGTACTTTAGTGGTAGTGCCTTACGCTGAGAATCCTACTGCAAGCCGGCTTCTGGTAGCGTTCTGGAAAATATCGAGCGAGAAATTAATCCCTTAAAAAAAACAACACCCGATATGTGGATCGGGTTGCAACCTGTCCCAGTTAATGCGGGACACGATTTTTGATATAATGTATTCACATGTCGTCCTTCCACCATTGTCATATTATGTGATTACAATCTTGATTTGAAGCTTTCGTGACTGCAGGAATCCAAACTCTTTGGTTATTTCGGTAAAGTCACGTAGGTAGAAAAATAATAAATCACGACGTTTCGATCGCAACACAAGAAATCGTCATCAGGTGGGACAACCACAGCAATAAAAAACGACTTCAGCAGAAACAACTACTTCAGCAGTTTTTTCTTGCTGTGGTTGTCCCACCTGATGACGATTGCTTATGTTGCGATCGAAACTTCGTGATCTATTCTTTTTCTACCTACGTGACTTTACCGAAAGAACCAGATTTTATGTGATTACAGTATTCTTCTTCCCACGATATGTCCCGGTTTTTTTTACATCTCAGAGGTGGAAACCCTAAATGCACCCGGTCTCATTAAGCGCCTGGATAGCGCCTGGATGGGCCACCACTAACCTTGGACACTCGGTTGTTTTCGGCTGCTGCAGTGCAGCAGAATCCATTGTAGTATTGTACATTCTATGCTCCATATTCTTAGGTTTTTTCGGTAAAGTCACGTAGGTAAAAACATTATTTTTATTTTTTTATTTTATTTTACTTTTTAATGTTTTTACCTACGTGGCTTTACCGAAAAAACCTAAGAATATGAATCAATGCAGTCACGAAAGCTTCAAATCTAGAATTCTATGCTCCCACAAGTGTATGCTCCCGCCGCCTTCACCAACCCGCACTGACCTATCGTGGTGAAGTATGGCCAAATAACCCTCACGACCCGCACGGCACGGGGAGTCCCTCATCCAGCAGCGGATTGACCACGGGCCATACATGTCACACGCGTGACCTCATCTTCCCTCATTCCGGAGTGGTGGTGGGAGGGTTACCCGTGCACGCGTGCCTATCCCCTTACGAGCGAGCGAGCGAGCGGAGGGGGTGACACACGGGACGACCCCCTTCGTCCATGGCTCGGGTGAGAGGAAAAACTGGAATTCATCAGCGAAGCTCACTCACCTGCGGTCAGGACTCACTGCAGGTGCAGTTACCACATCTGGCTTAGTCCCCCCACCAACCCCGCATCTCCACGTGGTCAGACCCCAGCGAGAATTGCCCCACGCCCATGACTAAGCGCATCATGGGAGAGAGGGAGGGAGTGGGGGGTGGGCAGTGGGGTGGGGGTCTAGAGGGCGCGGGGGGGGGGGCTAGGACGGGGCCCTGATTGACGCGACTTGGCAGCACACACGCCGCCTGCCGCGCCGAGAAGTCCAGACGGAGCCTGGGACGGTTTCCAGGGCCGTTCCCTATTGCCCCCCGCGACCCCCGAAACAACCCCCCCCCGCCTCATCCCCCCCTCCCACGCCCTCCCCCGCCTTACCTTCTCACTGTACGGTGTGGTTCTTGGATGTACAGCACAACTATTCGCACCACCCACCGCTGGCGACTAAAGAGTCCAGTGGTTGAATCTTTGCCATGAATATAGCGGCCACTCGTGGCTGCGGACATCACCCAAACCCGTTAAATGCAATGGGTTTATATTTAAATTATATAAAGTAGGGTTGGAGCGGTGGCGCAGCGGTTAGCGCATCGTGCTTGCGTGAGCCGAGTTCGATTCCCGTCCACGGCTCACGTCAGCGGTGAGTGCCGATAGCCGGCAGCCAAACCGTGAGATCGATCATCGATAATTGGTCGATTACTATGAACGCATTATTTAAATGTGAGCCGCAGCTGGGACATCTGAGGACTCCAGTGATTGATCACTTTACCGATTCTCGGTTCCATTGCTCCACTTAATCTGACAATAAAACGGAAATAGTTGTGGGCGGGGGGGGGGGGGAAAAGGAAAGTCTGAAACTCTGTACCAACAACGCGTGCCGCTGGACGGGAGGTAAGGGGCGGGGCGTAGCTTGCAAGGGGGTGGGCGGTTGCGGGGGGGGGGTTTCCCACCTTCAGGCGGAAGGATCTGGGAGCGGGCATTATTTTTCAAAATGTCACCGCCAGTAATCAATAGCAGCACCAGGAAATCGATTATATTCTAGATTTGAAGCTTTCGTGACTGCAAGGATTCATACTCTTAGTTTTTTCGGTAAAGTCACGTAGGTAAAAAATGAAACAAAATTTTATAAAAATAAAATAAAAATCACGACGTTTCGGAGGCAACACAAGTCTCCGTCATCAGGTGGGACCGTCACAGCCAGATTTGCTGTATCAAGTCGATTATCGTTTCTCAATCTTGGCTCAAATGGAACAGCGATGCATTGCGGAGGACTGACGCTATCCCCCCGCCCGCCTTTGTCTCTCTGATTTGGCGATGCTGATCCGCGAGCAACCCCCCCCGCCTCCCCCCGCCCCCCCGGGGTATGCTGAGAATAGTGGCCATGCCATCCCATTCCTGGGCTGCCTGGCATTTCTCCCGGAGCGCCACCGCAGTGCCCGGATACACGCGCAGAATTTAGCCGCCGTGCGGCCGCAGTGAGTGAGTTGGAGGCACGGGGTTTTTTTTTTGGCCGTCGCGCGCGCGGATGAAGTCATTAAGCCTCTTGCCGCAACGCGGCGATCGGTTGCGCGTGCGACCAGTAATTGCAACAACCAAACTGTTGTTGTTGTTTGTGGGACTTCAATTTTTCTTTTTTAGGATGGAATTGTCTTGTGGTTGTTGTTGTTGTTTGACTTGCATCCCACTGGGATTTTTGCACACAGCGTTGGTGTACGGTGCTTTTTGTGGAATATTTTACTCTCTTTTCCTGGATTTTCTGTTTGCACATAGTCACATAGTCACTTTAAGATGTTTTCTTGTTCATGTTTTTGTTTTATGTTTTAGTAGTTTTGTTTGTTGCGGTTGCACCCGATTCAAGAGCCGAATGGCTCACAGGGCTATACCAGAAAAATAAAACTGAAACTGAAATCGCGATCCCAGAACTCCCAACTAACATCCGGACAGGGCCCCGAGTCATCTCCTTGCCATCCGATTCCGAGACGCGCGCTTGGGGAACCACAGAACCCTGTTCAGTACACATCCCATCTGCCCACATATCTCCTTCACGTATCGAACACCGCCAGCCTCAAGAGTAATGCCTGGCGCGGCGTATCGCTGGGGAGACAAAGTGGCCCGCCTTCATCGGTGCTCGCGAACCGCACTTGCCCCAAGAACCTGTGCGAGGCTACCTGGGGGGTCTTTGTCGTTGTAACATCGCAGACCGACGTGGAAGGAAACTGTCTTGGTCAATGAGGAACGTGGCATGTCCGCCGAGTCATTGCCGCCTTCCTCTGAAACAGAGAATCAAACTCCTCCAGGCTACACATTAAAGACCAACCCCCCCCCCCCCCCCGTGTAGCCTTCAGCACAACTGTTGATGCGACCCGAGTTCAATTCCAGCTCGCGGTCAACAACACCAGTGGCGATGATCGTAAGCGGTCCTAAGTCAACTCCTGCTGCGATGTGTAAATGACATCGCCACTCGGGAAACGAAGGCGGCCGGACGTGGTGCTGGCCATCCACGCCCTCGTGTGTGCCGTGCCGGCCTTCGTGGGTGCTCGCTTACAGCAGTCCGTTAAGGCTATCCGGGGCATCTTTGTCTTTGTGCGCGCGCTCCGAGTCTCTTGCCAGATTTGTGAGACGCCCGGCGCTGGACTCGAACTCGTGTTGGGGGGCGGGGGTCCCGGGTGTGGTGCCACGTGCCTGGTTTGGTCGCAAGACCTCCCGCGTCGCTCGAGGGCCCAGGCTCGGGTTTCGCTGTTTATGCGAGGGCCTATGCCGGTAAAAATAGTGGCCCCGAGTCGCCACGTGGGTAAGAAGGGGGGGGGGGGTAGGAGGGATCTGGGACCCCCAACCGCCCCCCCCCCCTCTTCTTCACAAGAAGGGGAACATGACTCGGGCAGAGGGGTCCTGATCTGCTGTGCGAGGAGAATCAAGGGGATGTGGAGCGCGGGCGAAGATTCACTGAATTGCAGAGAGAGCCCCCATGGGACTCCTGTATTCCGCACCCCCCCCCCCTCTACCGCCTCCCAAAGAGGTGAGTGCTCCATGGAGGGGTGAGTGCACCATGGAGAGGGTGAGTGCTCCATGGAGGGGTGAGTGCTCCATGGAGGGGGTGAGTGCTCCATGGAGAGGGTGAGTGCTCCATGGAGGGGTGAGTGCTCCATGGAGGGGGTGAGTGCTCCATGGAGGAGTGAGTGCTCCACCGAGGGGGTGAGTGCTCCATGGAGGAGCGAGTGCTCCACCGAGGGGGTGAGTGCTCCATGGAGGAGCGAGTGCTCCACCGAGGGGGTGAGTGCTCCATGGAGGAGCGAGTGCTCCACCGAGGGGGTGAGTGCTCCATGGAGGGGTGAGTGCTCCGTGGAGGGGGTGAGCGAGTGCTCCACCGAGGGGGAGAGTGCTCCACCGAGGGGGTGAGTGCTCCACCGAGGGGGTGAGTGAGTGCTCCACCGAGGGGGTGAGTGAGTGCTCCACCGAGGGGGTGAGTGAGTGCTCCACCGAGGGGGAGAGTGCTCTGAGTGTCTCCATGGGGTCGCTTCACCCGCACCGCCGCTACGCCGCGTACCACATTCTTGGTCTCAAAACAGCGGCGCATTAATGCGCCCCGCCCCCCTCCCCCCCAGCCCCATTCCCCCGTGCCCCCCAGAGACTTCGATACAGCGAGCGGGAATGCGCACAATGTGTCTTTATTTAGACAAAATACCATTAGAATACCATCAGAATACCATTAGAATACCATCAAAATACCATCAGAATACCATCAAAATACCAGAATACCAATAGAATACCATAAGAATACCATCAAAAGGCCATCACAATACCAATAGAATACCATTAAATACCATCAGAATACCATAAAAATACGATCAGAATACCATAAAAATACCAATAAAATATCAAAATATCATCAATATACCATCAGAATACCATCAAAATACCAATAGAATATCTAAATACCATAAAAATACCATCAGAATACCATAAAAATACGACCAGAATACCATCAGAATACCAATAGAATATCAAAATACCATCAGAATACCATCAGAATACCATCAGAATACCTGGCCTGCTCCAGAAGCTTGTTCCGGGCGGACTCCATCTGCCGCGAGCCCACCGACCTGAGTTCGATCTCCAGCGCCGGTCCCCGGCCCCCTGCTCCACACGGAGCTCCGTGCCGGCGAAGGGCCTCGTTGTGTGCGTGCGTGGAGGAGCGGTGGCGCAGCGGTTAGCGCCCTGCGCGACGAACACGACAAGAGACCCGGGTTTTAATCCCGCTCACGGCCACCAGCACCGGTGACGATCATCTGAACCGGTCTCTGGGCCTCCCCTGGGTCGACTCAGCCTTAAAACGAGTACCTGTCTGGGTGTGTAAACATCGCCACTCGGGTGACAATAAATGCGGCCGGGCGTGGTTGCTGACCACCCACCCGGTCGTGTGCGGTGCCGGCCTTCATCGCCGCTGCTGCTCGCTAACGGCACTTGCCCCAACAGTCTGTCAAGGCTAAAGGGGGGGGGGCGTCTTTGTCTTTGTGTACAGGTGGTGGAGGGGGCGGGGTGGGCTGACAGGGCGACTGCAGCCCGAGCCATGGCCGCGGTGCAAGACGGCCGCTCGAAGCTGCGCGACCTGGCTTGGCGCAATCAATAACAACAATAATGATGATACATCCATAATCGAGGTTTTTCTGGGGGTTAGATCGCGTAAATATAGAAATGTGTCGTTAAAACCCGCCACCACCTGACACAGCCAACTAGTAAGGGTTGTCACGTAAGCAGAACGTGGCCAATTCGTCACTGGTACAGCACTAGTGTATAGTATAGTAATGTATAGTAATGTAGTGTATAGTGTAGTGTATAGTCGTGTATTGTATAGTGTAGTGTATAGTCGTGTATTGTATAGTGTAGTGTATAGTAGTGTAGTGTATAGTGTAGTGTATAGTGTAGTGTATAGTCGTGTATTGTATAGTGTAGTGTATAGTGTAGTGTATAGTGTAGTGTATAGTCGTGTATTGTATAGTGTACTGTATAGTGTAGTGTATAGTGTACTGTATAGTGTACTGTGTAGTGTAGTGTGTAGTGTATAGTGTAGTGTATAGTGTAGTATACTAGTACAGCAACACCGGTGTGTTGGCGAGCCAAGCCACAGCATTCACAATCTGAGTGTACGACGTTTCGCCAGTAATTACAACGAGCTTCATCAGGCGACAGCCAGTCGACCCACGGCCGCGCTGCTCGGGTTGGCCAAACGTTGTTGGCAAGAGCACTCCAGCTCTGTGTGTGTGTGTCCTGTGTGTGTGTCACTGTGTGTGTGTGTGTCCTGTGTGTGTCCTGTGTGTGTGTCCTGTGTGTGTGTCCTGTGTGTGTGTCCTGTGTGTGTGTCACTGTGTGTGTGTGTCCTGTGTGTGTGTCACTGTGTGTGTGTGTGTCCTGTGTGTGTCCTGTGTGTGTGTCCTGTGTGTGTGTCCTGTGTGTGTGTCTGTGTGTGTCACTGTGTGTGTGTCCTGTGTGTGTGTCCTGTGTGTGTCCTGTGTGTGTGTCCTGTGTGTGTGTACTGTGTGTGTGTGTCCTGTGTGTGTGTCCTGTGTGTGTGTGTGTCCTGTGTGTGTCCTCTGTGTGTGTGTGTGTCCTGTGTGTGTGTCACTGTGTGTGTGTGTGTCCTGTGTGTGTCCTCTGTGTGTGTGTGTCCTGTGTGTGTCACTGTGTGTGTGTCCTGTGTGTGTGTCCTGTGTGTGTCCTGTGTGTGTGTGTGTCCTGTGTGTGTCACTGTGTGCGTGTACTGTGTGTGTGTCCTGTGTGTGTGTCACTGTGTGTGTCACTGTGTGTGTGTACTGTGTGTGTGTGTCCTGTGTGTGTGTGTGTCCTGTGTGTGTGTCCTGTGTGTGTGTGTCCTGTGTGTGTCACTGTGTGTGTGTACTGTGTGTGTGTGTCCTGTGTGTGTGTCCTGTGTGTGTCACTGTGTGTGAGGCATTCTGGGTGACTACCCCACGCACGCCTCCCCCTTCGACGAAGATTGCAACCGCGTGGCTCGGGCAGGCGGAATAGAGCGGCTCGCCGTCGTCACAATCGCGGTTTGTGGCCAATCATCACCGTCCCTCCGGCGGTCGATAAAATCGAGACCTGCACTCGGCGGGGGAAGGCAACGGCTGCTGCCGCTGCGGGTGGAGTCGCTCCCAACCATAGGAATGTGGAAATGCCATCGCGAGCTCGGTGAGCAGCGGGGTTTTTAAAATCCTTTATATTAAGTTCACTTGCTTGCTTGCGCGCTTACGACCGTGCAAATCTTTCGGTCGTTTTTTAACCCACTTCCCGTGATCCAATCGAGCTGACATTTTGCACACAGACTCGTTGTGCGTGACAATTTCTTTTCCTGAAAATTTTTTTCCAAAATGTTCCACTTTTTCGGATTTTTTTTTTTCATATTTAATTTAAAATACCAATGTGATAAAAATGAAACTCGTACTCAAGAAAAACAGAAAATGAATAATAAAATAAAACAGATGCCACGCATATAAAGGATTTATAGTGAACAACTTTGTTTTTTCGGGTTAATTTTTTGTTTGTTTGTTTGACGCAACCGAGAGACGGGACTGTGGCCTGGGCTCGCGGACCTTCTGTCCGCCCTGCACCGCGAGTCACCTCTGGGAGGTCACGGTCGACGTCGGCGGGCGAGACACGCCGTGTAGGCAGCAGTGATGGGATCGGCATAGCCTCGGTGCCCTCTCCTTGTACAGAGGCTGCGCGCAACCCGGACCGGTTTAGGGGGTCCGGGTTCGACTCCCGGACTGGCTCGTGTGAAGCTCAGCCCCGATGGCTGACTCACCCACTGGCTGGCTGGTGGCCACCGGACTGACTTGTCCACTGGCAAACTGGTTGAGTGGCGTGGTCACGAACTCGGCGACTGGCTGGTGCAACGGGTGACTTGTATGCTGGCATCATAGCTCGTAAGCTGAGCAAATGACTGAATGTAACTGACCAATACAGCTGACTCTCTGGCTGGCACACTGACTTAACTGGTTGGCTTGTACACTGACGTGCTGGTTAGTAAATTGATCAGTGAACTAATAAGCTAGCTCACCCGTACACTGGCTAGCTGACTGGCTGATACACTGACTGGCTGGCTGGAACACTGACTAATTTCCTGGCACACTGTCTAATTGCCTGGCACACTGACTGACCGGCAGACTGGCATAGACACGAAATGCCTGACCGGCAGACTGGCTCGATGATTCGACTGGCACAGCGACTATGCACGTGTCGTGTATAGTTGCACTAACGAGCTGTCTGTCTGCCGGCTGATGGTCACGCAGTGAATGCATTATCGCTGACGTAGTGCGTCAATGTGGGGCAAAATGTGGGTAGCCGTACCCACAGCTCTGCCAGCGAATCTAGAATTAGAAACGAGCTCCCTCCAAGAGGCGGGGGACAGAGGGTGGCATTCGCACGCGGTGGCGTAGGCAACCATATACAGCACACACAGTGGGGGCACGCATGCCCCCCTATTAAGCAACCGCCCCCCCCCCATTCAGAGGCAGCTACCGCGGGTTAGGGGAGGTGGGGGGGGCTCGCTCTATTTCCAGTTAAGGAGCCAAATTGCCATCAATTGTGGCCAAACGTATTGTGGCAGGACCTTCCTGGAAAGAAGAAAGTCTCGCTGAGGATTCGCTAGGTGAGAGTAGGAACATTGGGAATTGCTGCTGCTGTTGCTGTTGTCACGCTGCAAGCGAGCGTGGAGCGAGCTGCACTTTGTACGATCCTAAATCCTGCCGCCCGAGTTCCATTCCCGCTCAGAGCCCAGCAAGAGCGGCGAGTCATTGTCCGAACCGGTAACCCCCCCCCCCCCATACGCCCGTTCCCCACACCGCCTTCGCCAACCCCGCACAGACGAGCGTGGCCACGTACGGACAAACAACCCCCTGAGGACTGACACTGCGCGGGGAGAGGTCTGCATCCGTCTAGCAGTGGATAGGCTGAGGCAGTGCCGGGTGATCCTAGTAGCACAAGTAGCTATACATGTAGTAGCTACGGGCCCCGCACTTTCAAGGGCCCCGCGCTAAATGCTTTCAAGATATCAATTCCGGTTCAGTGATTCTGCACTTGCTCTATTACTATAGGACTATACTGCCTTCAACTTTAATGAACGACTGGGTGTTTAAGGCGAGCGATTTGTCTTGTTATATGGCTGTATAGCAAATGAAAAAATACAATTACTTTACTATGTAAGTTTAAAAAATTGGTGTTTTAATATTTACGTATTTTGTTTTAAATTTAGGGCCCCTTCATAACATATGCTACAGGCCCCGCACTAGCTTAATCCGGCACTGGGCAGAGGGCTGGACGGGGCGGTACATCGGTGATGTGGCGCGTGGTCATATGTTCCTAGAATGGCCACCGACGTTGCCTGCACTCTGTAAGCAAAGATGATGCATTCCTTGACGGAGTATGTGACACTGCCACCCTCCCTCCCTCCCGTTCTCCCCCCCACCACCACCACCATGTCCCTGTGCCAGGCTTGGATCCTGAGTCGTGATGCGCCCGCACGGGGGAGGAGGGACGAGTGTCTGGATGATTGGGATGCACGCAAGAACCACGTGCTTTTTACTGTCCTGACTGTACGGAGCTGTGTGGCGCAGTGCTACAGCCGGAGCAAAGCTGACTCTGCCAGCTGGCCAGCCCGTGTAGCAGTCAACCCCTGTGTCATGTCCCAGTCACAGAACCCATGTGTCATCCAGCCCATGTGCCAGCCAGTCCACGTGCCAGCCAGTCCACGTGTCAACCAGCCTATATTTCATGTGCAAGCCAGACTAAGCGTCACATGTTAGCAAGCTAAACCACGTGTTAGCCAGTCATGTGCTTCCGTCATGTATTATCCAGCCAATTTTGCCAGCCATGTGATGCCATCCATCCAGCCCATTTTATGCCAGACATCCAGCTCATGTGATGCAATCCATCCAGCCCATGTGATGCAAGCCATCCAAGCCCAGTTGCCATCCATCCAGCCCAGGTTCCAGCCCCTGCCTATTCGACATATACATCCAGACAGCCAGAATCTCACGGGCGATTACATTACTTGGCGGGGCAGTGTGAGACAGCGGTGCGTAACGTTAGACGCGTTATAAAGTTTCTGCTTCTTCTTCTTATAATTGCGCCTGGGCACTGCGACTCTACCCCCTGCAGTGCAATTAGCGGGGGAGGCGGGGGATTGGGGGGGGGGGCTGGGGAGTAGGGGTAGTGGGGGGGGACTGGGGAGTGGGGGGGGCTGGGGATTGAGGGGGGGTGCAATATCGAGTGCGCGGGGGAGGGAGTCACGCGTTCTGCCCCCGCGGTCTCGCCTCGCTTCTCAGTCGCGGGGTTTTTAATAGAGAGGGAGGAGGAGGAGGGAGGAGGAGGCGGCTCTGGGCAGGTCAGAGGTCACCGCTGAGCCAGCACCGCAGACAGTCTGGGTTCGAATCCGGGTCTCACATTTAGCCGCGTTCCGAGTGGAGCGAGCTGATTGGTGATCTCAGCCCAGTCGCGGATGAATGTAGAGACTCGTAGGCTAATAAACTGTACACGGAGACCCGTAACAACAAACAACAAGAACTGCCGTTCGCCACGAAGTTGCGGAACGTCACCACGGCGCTTGTGCCAGGCTAGGTGCACCTTGAGGCCGTCACGTGAAGTGGCGAAGGCTCGCCCCTGGCAAGAGGTCACTGGATAACGTGTTATGGGTCGACTTCCACGCCCGACCGCCTTGTCTCCCTGCACTGTCGCTCCACACACAGGACACACACACAGGACACACACAGGACACACAGTACACACACACAGGACACACACACAGGACACACACAGGACACACACATACAGGACACACACATACAGGACACACACATACAGGACACACACAGGACACACACACAGGACGCATACATACAGGACACACACACACAGGACACACACAGGACACACACACACAGGACACACACACAGTACACACACACAGGACACACACACACAAGACACACACAGGACACACACACAGGACACACACAGTACACACACACACAGTGACACACACAGGACACACACACAGGACACACACACACAGTACACACACACAGGACACACACAGGACACACACACACAGTACACACAGGACACACACACAGGAGACACACACACAGGACACACACAGGACACACACAGTACACACACACAGTACACACACAGGACACACACACAGTACACACACAGTACACACAGAGGACACACACAGTACACACACACACAGGACACACACACAGTACACACACAGGACACACACACAGTACACACACACAGTACACACACACAGGACACACACACAGTACACACACACACACAGAACACACAAACAGTACACACACACAGTACACACACACAGGACGCACACAGTACACACACAGTACACACACACACACAGGACACACACACAGTACACACAGGACACACACACAGTACACACACACAGGACACACACAGTACACACACACAGTACACACGCACACAGTACACACACACAGTGACACACACACAGGACACACAAACTCTCGTGAGGAGCGTGGGGACCGTTCGTAGGGAGTCTCGAGTGGTCCCGCCGCTCGCGCTTGGGAGAGTTGACCTGAAGCTTTGGGTCGAGGTCTGCTCATCTCGTCCGCACTGCGCTCAACCACCACCACCATCACCACCGCCACCACCATCACCACCACCACCATCACCACCACCACCATCACCACCACCACCATCACCACCACCACCACCACCACCGCCACACTGCAGATCGATGACTACACACGTGGAGGTCCGCACAGATGGGTTCACCAAACCTCCTTGCTGTGCTGCCATCTCGCAGGCCACTGGGTGATTTGGGAGTTTCGCAAATCTCTTTGCGAGCCACCAACCCTCGCCTGCAACGCGCCGTGTGGATCACAGGGCGCGCGCCACCACGCACTGCGGTGTTCACTCACTCACCCACTCACTCACCCACTCACCCACACGCTCACTCATCCACTCACTCACCCACTCATCCACTCACTCACCCACTCATCCACTCGCTCGCCCACTCACTCACTCACCCACTCACCCACCCACTCATCCACTCGCTCACCCACTCGCTCACCCACTCATCCACTCACTCATCCACTCATTCATCTTCTCGCTCACTCACTCATCCACTCACTCACCCACCCGCTCACTCACCCGCCCGCTCACCCGCTCACTCACCCACCCACTCACTTGCTCACTCACCTGCCCGCTCACTCACTCACCCACTCAACCGCCCGCTCACCCGCTCACTCACCTGCCCGCTCACCCGCTCACTCACCCACTCGCCCGCCCGCTCACCCACTCGCTCGCCCGTTCACCCACTCGCTCACCCACTCGCCCGCCCACTCACCCACTCGCCCACCCACTCACCCACCCACCCACCCACTCACTCACCCACTCACTCACCCACTCGCTCACCCACTCACTCTCTCACTCTCTCATCACAGGCGAGAGTCGCTCCCAGCCTCAGGTCCTAAGGCTGGGGGGGGGGGGGGTTTAAGCCCCCCCCCCCTTCACCACCCAAGATTCCACCCCCACACTCCCCCGGCTGGGCTTGTGCCAACGCCGGCGGTGGCGAGGAATGAAAGTGGAGACGTGGCACGCGCTGCCCGCTGGTGGCACCGTGAGGGCGCTGCCCGCTGGTGGGCACCGTGAGGGCGCTGCCCGCTGCTGGCACCGTGAGGGCACTGCCCGCTGGTGGGCACCGTGAGGGCGCTGCCCGCTGGTGGGCACCGTGAGGGCACTGCCCGCTGGTGGCACCGTGAGGGCACTGCCCGCTGGTGGGCACCGTGAGGGCGCTGCCCGCTGGTGGGCACCGTGAGGGCACTGCCCGCTGGTGGCACCGTGAGGGCACTGCCCGCTGGTGGGCACCGTGAGGGCGCTGCCCGCTGGTGGGCACCGTGAGGGCGCTGCCCGCTGGTGGGCACCGTGAGGGCGCTGCCCGCTGGTGGGCACCGTGAGGGCGCTGCCCGCTGGTGGCACCGTGAGGGCACTGCCCGCTGGTGGCACCGTGAGGGCACTGCCCGCTGGTGGGCACCGTGAGGGCGCTGCCCGCTGGTGGGCACCGTGAGGGCGCTGCCCGCTGGTGGGCACCGTGAGGGCGCTGCCCGCTGGTGGGCACCGTGAGGGCACTGCCCGCTGGTGGGCACCGTGAGGGCACTGCCCGCTGGTGGCACCGTGAGGGCGCTGCCCGCTGGTGGGCACCGTGAGGGCACTGCCCGCTGGTGGGCACCGTGAGGGCGCTGCCCGCTGGTGGCACCGTGAGGGCGCTGCCCGCTGGTGGCACCGTGAGGGCGCTGCCCGCTGGTGGGCACCGTGAGGGCGCTGCCCGCTGGTGGCACCGTGAGGGCGCTGCCCGCTGGTGGGCACCGTGAGGGCGCTGCCCGCTGGTGGGCACCGTGAGGGCACTGCCCGCTGGTGGGCACCGTGAGGGCGCTGCCCGCTGGTGGGCACCGTGAGGGCACTGCCCGCTGGTGGGCACCGTGAGGGCACTGCCCGCTGGTGGCACCGTGAGGGCACTGCCCGCTGGTGGGCACCGTGAGGGCACTGCCCGCTGGTGGGCACCGTGAGGGCACTGCCCGCTGGTGGGCACCGTGAGGGCGCTGCCCGCTGGTGGGCACCGTGAGGGCACTGCCCGCTGGTGGCACCGTGAGGGCACTGCCCGCTGGTGGGCACCGTGAGGGCGCTGCCCGCTGGTGGGCACCGTGAGGGCACTGCCCGCTGGTGGCACCGTGAGGGCACTGCCCGCTGGTGGGCACCGTGAGGGCGCTGCCCGCTGGTGGGCACCGTGAGGGCGCTGCCCGCTGGTGGGCACCGTGAGGGCGCTGCCCACTGGTGGGCACCGTGAGGGCACTGCCCGCTGGTGGGCACCGTGAGGGCGCTGCCCGCTGGTGGGCACCGTGAGGGCGCTGCCCGCTGGTGGCACCGTGAGGGCGCTGCCCGCTGGTGGGCACCGTGAGGGCGCTGCCCGCTGGTGGGCACCGTGAGGGCACTGCCCGCTGGTGGGCACCGTGAGGGCACTGCCCGCTGGTGGGCACCGTGAGGGCGCTGCCCGCTGGTGGGCACCGTGAGGGCACTGCCCGCTGACAGCAGAGGCCCCGTGGCCCGGGCATCGCTCCCAGGCCGAGCTCAGAGCCACCTCCTTCCAAAGACAAATATCCCCCGGATAGCCTTCAGCAGGCTGTTGGGGCAAGTGCTGTTGGCGAGACGGCAAGGGGCGCACGAGGTGCTGGGTGGCCAGCAACACGCCCGGCCAGCCGGCCTTTGTCTCCCCGGTGCCGATGCTTACAAACTGCACCGGGTGCTCGTATAATGAAGGTTGAGTCGACCTATGGGGGAGTCCCACTCGGGTTTTGAGTCTGGTCTGGGGCTCCAGTGTCGGGACTCGGGTTAGGGATGCAGTCCGTGCCAGGGCTAAGGGTTTGGTTTTGGGCCAAACGTTCGGGTTTGAGTCGAGTCCAGGGTGTGAGTCGGGTCCAGGGTTTGAGTCGGGTCCAGGGTTTGAGTCGGGTCTAGGGTTTGAGTCGGGTCTAGGGTTTGAGTCGGGTCCGGGGTTTGAGTCGGGTCCGGGGTTTGAGTCGGGTCCAGGGTTTGAGTCGGGTCCAGGGTTTGAGTCGGGTCTAGGGTTTGAGTCGGGTCCGGGGTTTGAGTCGGGTCCAGGGTTTGAGTCGGGTCCGGGGTTTGAGTCGGGTCTAGGGTTTGAGTCGGGTCCGGGGTTTGAGTCGGGTCTGGGGTTTGAGTCGGGTCCAGGGTTTGAGTCGGGTCCAGGGTTTGAGTCGGGTCCGGGGTTTGAGTCGGGTCTAGGGTTTGAGTCGGGTCCGGGGTTTGAGTCGGGTCCGGGGTTTGAGTCGGGTCTGGGGTTTGAGTCGGGTCCAGGGTTTGAGTCGGGTCCGGGGTTTGAGTCGGGTCTAGGGTTTGAGTCGGGTCCGGGGTTTGAGTCGGGTCCGGGGTTTGAGTCGGGTCTAGGGTTTGAGTCGGGTCTGGGGTTTGAGTCGGGTCCGGGGTTTGAGTCGGGTCTAGGGTTTGAGTCGGGTCCAGGGTTTGAGTCGGGTCCGGGGTTTGAGTCGGGTCTAGGGTTTGAGTCGGGTCTGGGGTTTGAGTCGGGTCCGGGGTTTGAGTCGGGTCCGGGGTTTGAGTCGGGTCCAGGGTTTGAGTCGGGTCCGGGGTTTGAGTCGGGTCCGGGGTTTGAGTCGGGTCTAGGGTTTGAGTCGGGTCCGGGGTTTGAGTCGGGTCTGGGGTTTGAGTCGGGTCCAGGGTTTGAGTCGGGTCCAGGGTTTGAGTCGGGTCCGGGGTTTGAGTCGGGTCTAGGGTTTGAGTCGGGTCCGGGGTTTGAGTCGGGTCCAGGGTTTGAGTCGGGTCTGGGGTTTGAGTCGGGTCCAGGGTTTGAGTCGGGTCCGGGGTTTGAGTCGGGTCTAGGGTTTGAGTCGGGTCCGGGGTTTGAGTCGGGTCCAGGGTTTGAGTCGGGTCTAGGGTTTGAGTCGGGTCCAGGGTTTGAGTCGGGTCCGGGGTTTGAGTCGGGTCCGGGGTGTGAGTCGGGTCCAGGGTTTGAGTCGGGTCCAGGGTTTGAGTCGTGTCTAGGGTTTGAGTCGGGTCCAGGGTTTGAGTCGGGTCCAGGGTTTGAGTCGGGTCCAGGGTTTGAGTCGGGTCCAGGGTTTGTGTCGGGTCCAGGGTTTGAGTCGGGTCCAGGGTTTGAGTCGGGTCTAGGGTTTGAGTCGGGTCCAGGGTTTGAGTCGGGTCTAGGGTGAAGGTTCGACTCCGGACTAAAATGTGGCCTCGAGTCAGGCCCCTGGCTTCTCTCAAGCGGCGCGAGCAACAGAAAGCAACTCACACCGCATCGCTCAACAACGCCGGCAACACGGAACGATAGGCCCACAGACCTGCACGTGTATAATCGATACAAAAATCACGTTCAAAACCTGGAGTTTACTCGGTATAAAAAATATAAAACAGTACAAAAATCTCGATTACAATCGACGATAACAAAGCCACGAGGAGGTGCATAGTCGATGAGCGTGATCCACCACCGACCCTCTTCTTCCACAGCCGCCGGGGGACGGGCCCAGCGCGCGACGTCACTCATCGCCATCGGCTCCTTCCATCTGCCAGATCCCACAGGCGTCGTTGCACAGTTGATAACCTTCGCTTGCGAGGTCCTGGTCTACACGGTTCGTCACCACCACCATCACCACCATCATCACCACCACCATCATCACCACTATCACCACCACCACCATCATCACCACCACCACCACCATCATCACCACCACCATCATCACCACTATCACCACCACCACCATCATCACCACCATCACCACCATCATCACCACCACCACCATCACCACCATCACCATCATCACCACCATCACCACCACCATCACCACCATCACCACCACCACCACCATCATCACCACCATCACCCCACCCATGGTCTATCCACTGCTGGACGATGGACAACACCGAGCCGCCGCCGCCGCCGCGATGTTCACGATCCACTCCGCGGCTCCCGCACGAGAATGTTTCGTTCCACTGGCTCCCCCCGTCTCGCGACGTCCTCTCATCGCTCCGCTCCGTCATCCCCTCTAACAGGGCAATAAATACCGCGCGTGCGTGCGTGCGCGTGCGTCGTACGCCGACTATAAAAAAATATATATGTAAAATACACGTACGCATACATCTAAACTGCATGTAACTTTCGATTGAAAGCTTTCGTGACTGCAGGGATTCATCTTCTTGGTTCTTTCGGTAAAGTCACGTAGAATGGAAATAAAATAATAAAAATAAAACATAATAAAATAATTCTCACGACGTTTCGGCCACAAACGCAAGCAGCCGTCCTCAGGTGGAGAGTCATTCAGACTCTGTCTTATCGACAGACCTGCTCTCCACCTGAGGACGGCTGCTTGCGTTGTGGCCGAAACGTCGTGAGAATTATTGTATTATGTTTAATTTTTATTATTACTATTCTACGTGACTTTACCGAAAGAACCAAGAAGATGCATGTAACTTACACGAACGCCGTGCTGGGTACGTGCACGGACAGCAAGAGGAGGCTTTAACGTAAGCGACCGCGGCTAGCGCGAGGGGCCACCGAGTGAGTGGCTCCCCACGGTGTTCCGACTCCGCGCCACGGCGGCTCGAGGCAGCGGATCCCCGTGACAGCTACAGTCGCCTTCACCTTCTCTCTGTCTCTCGCTCTGTCTCTCCCTCTGTCTCTCTCTCTGTCTGTCACTCTGTCTGTCTCTCTGTCTGTCACTCTGTCTGTCACTCTGTCTGTCACTCTGTCTCTCTCTCTGTCTCTCTCTCTGTCTCACTCTGTCTGTCACTCTGTCTGTCACTCTGTCTGTCACTCTGTCTGTCTCTCTCTGTCTCTCGCTCTGTCTCTCTCTCTGTCTCTCTCTGTCTCTCTGTACCAGCGTGGACGGCACCCTCGTGTTCATTTTCTGAAGCGCTCGCTCGTCATCGTGGCGTGCGCGATGACCACCACAACCACGTGACTTTTATTTCGTGCTGTGTGCCATAGCGCGTGGATTGATGCAGTAAATTTTGCTGTGACGGTCCCACCTGATGACGGAGACTTGTGTTGCCTCCGAAACGTCGTGATTTATTATTTAATTTCTATTATTACGTTTATTATTTATTTTTCTTTCACCTACGTGACTTTACCGAAAAAAAACCTAAGAGTCTCTCAGGCTCTCTCTCTGTGTGTGTCTCTCTCTCTGTGTCTCTCTCTGTGTGTGTTTCTCTCTGTGTCTCTCTCTGTGTGTCTCTCTCTCTGTGTCTCTCTCTGTGTTTCTCTCTCTCTCTGTCTCTCTCTCTGTGTGTGTCTCTCTCTGTGTCTCTCTCTCTGTGTGTGTTTCTCTCTGTCTCTCTCTCTCTGTGTCTCTCTCTCTCTGTCTCTCTCTCTCTCCAAGCCGGCTCAAGCCTCCTGTAAGTCACGCGACTTCTGCATGGTCACCCCCCCCCCCCCCACTGAATCCCTACCCCTCTCATCTACATATCTTTTATATCTTTAAATAAGCTTAAGCTTTCCTGTAAATCACGTGACTTGCGTGTAACCCCCCCCCCACTCTGAATCCGTCCCCTCTCCCCGCCCCCCGTGAAAACAGACGCTGCGCCTCGTCGCGGCTCCCTTCTGCTCACTTCTTACATCTCTCTCTCTCTTCCCTCCCCTCTCGTCTCTCCCTCCTGCTCCCCTTTCTGCTCCCCCTTCCTGCACCACCGCTCCCCCTCCTCTCCCTCCTCTCTCCCTGCTGCTGCTGCTGCTCATCCTGGGCTGTGTTATGCTCCTCTTCTTTGTCCGTCCCGGCCTCCACTTCTCTCCCCCCCCCCCACCCCGCTCCTCTCTCCTCTTCCCATTCATTCGTCCATCCTTGACTCCCCTGCCCGTGTTGTGTGGCACCGTTACAAAAATGTTAATCGTAAATTTATAAAAAAACGTAAAATTCAACGAGAAGTCTTTCTGGAGCCTTAACCAGGCATTCATTTATCTCTCCATATTTTCTGGAACGCTGCGAGGCTGGCCTTGGAGTAGGGATTATATTATCGGCGTAAGGCACTACCACGAGAGTACAAGATACGGCTGTCCACAATCATCTTTGCATTGTTGTACCCAGCAGTGCAAACAGTGGGGTCCAGTTTCTCAAATGCCCCCCCCCTCCCCCAACGTCTCTCTCCACCCAGCAGGATAAATGGGTAAACTTCAATCGCGTGTGCTGGGTGAAGTGTGAGTATGCACACCTCTTCGCGACAACACATCTAACAGCGTGGAGGAGTGGCGCATGCTCTGCATCCCTCTAACCCTATAACCATGTAACCCTGTATGTAAAGTGTAACCCGAACCCAATAACACTGTATCTAACCCTATAACCATGTAACCCTGTAACCGTGTTGAGGACGACACGAGGCGACGTGGGTGTGTGTGTGTGGTTGTGTGTGGGTGTGTGTGTAGGTATGTGTGTGTGTGTGGTTGTGTGTGGGTGTGTGGGTGTGTGGTTGTGTGTGGGTGTGTGGTTGTGTGTGGGTGTGTGTAGGTGTGTGTGGGTGTGGGTGTGTGGTTGTGTGTGGGTGTGTGTGTAGGTATGTGTGGGTGTGTGGGTGTGTGTGGGTGTGTGTGTGTAGGTATGTGTGGGTGTGTGTGGGTGTGTGTGGGTGTGTGTGTGTGGGTGTGTGGTTGTGTGTGGGTGTGTGTGTGGGGGTATGTGTGGCTGTGTGTGGGTGTGTGTGTGTGGGTATGTGTGGGTGTGTGTGGGTGTGTGTGGGTGTGTGTGGGTGTGTGTGGGTGTGTGGTTGTGTGTGGGGGTGTGTGTGGGGGGGTATGTGTGGCTGTGTGTGGGTGTGTGTGTGTGTAGGTGTGCCGCTGCAGCAGTGTTCCGGCACGACCTGTCCCAGCTGCGATTGAGAGCCGAGTCTCGAAACTCGGGAGGGTCCCCGCTACACTGGAATGTTTGTAAACGTCCTTACGTCGTGTAGACACTACGACTGCACCAATCACCAAACTCCAGCGCTGCACCAATCACCAAACTCCAGTACTACACAAATAACCAGGAATGTTCGATGGGCCGACCACGTGTTCTCAACTCTGTCGAGTCGGTGGTTCTCAACGGCGACTTGGCCAAGCGTGGCATTCAGCTCTGTTGAGCTGGTGGTCTGGGCAAGGCCCGAGAGCCTTCTACACACTCGATGCTGTGCGCACCCAGCCGCAGCGTCACGCCGAACTCATCGGCGTCGAGAGTGAACCCACGGTCTCCCCCACAGCAATGAGACGGCTGCATCTCGGGTTTCGCCCGCGTTAGGTCTCATCAGCGCACCACAGCCATCGTTACTTATCTGCTGCAATGGGTCTGCCTTGTTGCGCATTAATGCGGGGGGAGCGGTGGCTACGAAACCCGGCCACCCGAGTTCGATTCCTGCCCACGGCCACCAACACCAGTGACGCACGGTCGTCTTTGTCTCCCCAGCGGCGATGCTTACACACCGCACCCGGCACTCGTTTAGGGTCGGGTCTATCTAGCGGAGGCCCCTAAACGGTTCAGATATTCGCCGCCGATGTTGGCCGTGAGCGCGAATCGAATTTCGGGTTTTGTTTCCGACACCCCCGCAAAGCCTCCCACGTGCGCGCCTGAGTTGGTTCTCGCAACAGAACAGCACTTGCCCCAACACCCTGACATAGGTTACCCGGGACACCTTTGTCTCTGCATACGCGTGACTACAGACAAAGACAAAGATCCCCCGTATAGCCTTGACGGGCGATTGTACCCCCGGCTTGTCTACACGTGGCCCGACACCACCGCTGTCCAACGCTCCGTGCTCGTACCCACATCAGCTTCCTTGGCGATCCTCTTGGTCGGTGGTCCCTGATTGGATTCCCCTGTGGTAGGGGCCCCCCTTTTATGGGGGAAGTCCCTTGGTAGGGGTCCCCTTGGTCGGGGTCACTTTGGCGAGGGGTTCTTTGGTAGCGGTCCCCTTCGTCGAGGTCACCTTGTCGGGGGGTCCGTTGTTAGGGGTCCCCTTGGTGGGAGGCCGCTTGCGCGTCGACCCCGCGGGGTCTTTACCCGCCCCGTCCCCCGCACCTTCGCGCGGTGCCGATCTCCCGGCGAGGCAGCGCTCCGCGCGCTCCCTCGCATCCTCCCTCGCCTCGCGCTCCGCCATAGCGCCCACGGTGTTCCAGAAGAACTCGAGACGGGCGCTCACCCAGCGCAGCTCTCCCGGCTGCACGCCCTGCAGAAGATTCGCCTCCAGCTGCTGCTGCTGGTGCTGCTGCTGCTGCTGCTGGTGCTGCTGCTGGTGCCGGGTTCCTCGCGTTGCGGGGCGCCGCTCCGGCTGCTGGGGACTGCGCTGCCACGCGGTGGCGGGGACAAGGGCAGCGCTGCCCAGGAACGGGTGCGGAAGCTGCCCCCGATCCAGGCAGCTCCGCAGGAAGGTCACGAGGTCGCCCAGCCTCTGCGAGAGCCGCTCCTCCCCCCACGTTTCGGGGAACCCCGATTCCTGACCCCGGTGGCCCCGTGATGTCGACGCGGCCGTGGCTCTGCAGGGCCCCGGATTGCCGCCGGGGGGCTCCTCCGCCGCGCCGCCGTTGGCGCCGCAGGGCCCCGTGGATGAGCCCAGGATGAGGTGGAAGAGCGCGGCCTTGAGGTGGAAGGTGCAGAGGAGGCGCAACCACAGCGCGGCCGCCGCGGGGTCGCGGTGGCGCAGCTCGGCTCCCGTCACGTCCCTGAAGGCCTTGAGCAGCTGCAGGCACGTGATGTGGCACGGTGGGCCTCTCGCGCCGGGCTCCGAGGGGCCCTGGGGGCCCAAGCCGGGCCCGCCGAGCGCCGCGAGCCGAGCAAAGAGGCGCTGCTCGTGCGCCGGGAACAGGGCTCTCCAGGCCGGTGCCGGGCACGGGGACTCGGGGGGTGATGTCGGGGTGGAGGTGGGAGTCTGAGTTAGGGTCTGGGTTGAAGTTGATGCATGGGTTGGAGTCAGATTCGGGGTTGGGGTCGCAGTTGAGGTGGGGGTCAGCGTCTGGGTCACTTTCGGGGTCTGCGTCGGCGTCAGAGTCGGCGTTGCAGTTGGGGTCTCGGTTGGAGTCTGGTTCTCGCTCTGGGTAGGGATCTGAGTTGGGGTCCGTGTTGAGGTGGGGGTCATGGCCGGGTTTAGACTCGGGGTCTCACCCTCTCCCCACTGCGGCGTCAGGAACGCAGCCCCAACGCCGCCGCCGTTGTCTCCGCCGTCGTCGCTGGCCGCAACAGCAGCAGCAGCAGCGAGGGGCAGCGCGGGCAGCATCCAGACGCGCAGGGGCAGGCGGCAGCACACGAAGTCCGCGCGGGGCAGGATGCGCACAACGACGCGGCCACGGGACTCGCGCGCGCTCACCGCGAGCGCGCACCCCGCGCCGAGACGCGCTCGCACCGCGCCCGCCGCGCGCAGCACCGCGCCGCGGAACCACGCGTGGACGCGCTCGGGGCACAGAGCGGCCCCGGCCGGGCAACAGAAGCCCTCGGCGAGGGCCCTGCAGGCGAGCGGGGCCCGCAGAGGGCAGTGCCCGTGAGGGGTCGGGGCCCCCTCTCCGCAGCGCGCGCGGTGCGTGAACCGCGCAGCGCAGAGCGCGGGGACGCAACCCGCGACCGCCGGAACGCGCAGGGGAATGAGGAGGTCGTACGAGTCCGGACGCACGATGGCGTGCTGCTCGTAGCCGGACCCCGCGGGCACGAAGTCCCCGCGGAGGGCGGGTCCCCAAGGGTCTCCCGCGTAGGGGTCACCCCGGTGGGAGCCGTCGGGGCGCGCCACCAACGCCACCGCGTCCAGCAAGGCCCGCGCCACGCGTTCCACGTGCGACTTGGCGTGCGCCACGGCGTGCGCGGAGACGCGCAGCCGCCGCCGGTGCAGGAGGACGAGGAGCGGCGAGGGGACCGGGCCGAGGGGAGCCGAGACCCCGCAGATCCCGACGCCGATGCCCGGTGGTGTCGCCGGCTCCTGCACGGCCGCGGTTTTCTTGTCGAGCAGCGGCGTCGCGCGCTCGCGCGGAAGGGAGAGCAGCTTGTTCCGCACGTTCACCAGCACCACCGTCGTGGTCACCATCAGCAGCAGCAGCAAGAGGGCGAGGAGCGGCCGGTGAGACAGGAAAGGCAGGGCGTGGAGCAACGCAGCGGAGAGAGAATGCCGCTGCTGCTGCTGCTGCTCATCCTGCTTGTGCTCTTTCTGCTCGTGCTCGTGCTGCTGCTGCTCGTGCTGCTGCTGCTCGTGCTGCTCGTGCTGCTGCTGCTCGTGCTGCTGCTGCTGCTGCTCGTGCTGCTGCTGCTGCTCGTGCTGCTGCTGCTGCTCGTGCTGCTGCTGCAGAGTAGGAGGAGGTGGCGAGGGGTCGGCACTCCCCGCTGCCCGCGGCTCGAGCGCGCTCAGGTAGAAGGTGCAGCAGAGAGCCGTGGCCACGCACAGCGCAGCGGAGACCTCCCGGGGCAATCCCAGGGGCAAGGCCATGATGGCCGCGGGGGTCCTGGGGCCGGGACGCGGGCCCTGACCCTCCGCGCGGCCGCGATGGAGGAGGAGGAGGCGGCGACTGCACCGGGAGGGGTGAGGCGCATTGCCCTTTGGAGGCGTCCCGGTCGAGTCTGGGATCGTGGCGGGCGTTGCCCTCTTGATCCGCGGCCTCTCTTCCTCCCGGTCGCTCTTTCTCTTCCTCCTCCTCCTCCCCCGCCCGCCTTTGTCTCTCTCTCTCCCTCCCCCGGCTCCGTAGGCTCAGCCTCTTCCGTTGCGAGGCGCCGTTACGCAGCGGAACTGGAGGGGGACTTCGAGGGGGGCGGTGGGGGGGAGACGTGGAGTTGGAGCAAAACGGGAACTGAGCGGAGCGTGGGAGTTTGGCAGTGTGAGTGTGTGTGGGAGTGTGAGTGTACGTGTGTGAGTGAGTGTGTGTGAGTGTGTGTGTGAGTGTACATGTGTGAGTGAGTGTGTGTGTGTGAGTGTACGTGTGTGAGTGTGAGTGTACGTGTGTGAGTGAGTGTGTGTGAGTGAGTGTGAGGGAGTGTGTGAGTGAGTGTGTGTGAGTGAGTGTGAGTGTGATTGTGTGTGGGAGTGTGAGTGTGTGAGTGAGGGTGAGTGTACGTGTGTGAGTGTGTGTGAGGGAGTGTGTGAGTGAGTGTGTGTGAGTGAGTGTGTGTGTGATTGTGTGTGGGAGTGGGAGTGAGTGTGAGTGTACGTGTGTGAGTGAGTGTGTGTGTGAGTATGTGTGAGTGAGTGTGTGAGTGTGTGTTGAGTGTGTGTAAGTGTGAGTTTGTGTAAGTGTGAGTGAGTGACTGAGTGAGTGTGACAGTATGAGTGGGAGTGTGGGAGTGTGTGTGTGAGTATGTGTGAGTGAGTGTGAGTGTGTGTGTTGAGTGTGAGTGAGTGTGTGTAAGTGTGAGTGTGTAAGTGTGAGTGAGTGACTGAGTGAGTGTGTGAGTGAGTGTACATGTGGGAGTGAGTGTGTGAGGTGTGAGTGTGTGTAAGTGTGAGTGTGTGTAAGTGTGAGTGAGTGACTGAGTGAGTGTGTGAGTGAGTGGGAGTGTGTGTGTATGTGGGGAGCGGTAGCGCGCTGCGCTACGAACCTGGAGACCCGGGTTCGATTCCCGCTCACGGCCAAGACCAGTGACGATTATCTGAACCGGTCCTGGGCCTCCCCTAGGTCGACTCAGCCTCAAATGAGTACCTGGTGCGATGTGATCAACATCGCCACTGGGGAGACAAAGGCGGTCGGGTGTGGCGCTGTCCATCCACCCCCTCGTGAGCAGTGCCGGCCTTCATAGGTGCTCGCTAACAGCACTTGCCCCAACAGTCTGTTAAGGCTACACGGGGGATCTTTGTGAGTGAGTGCGTGGCAGTGTGTACCATGCCGGTCTTCGGAGGCGCTCGCCTACAGCACTTGCCCCAACAGTATGCTAAGGCTATACGGGGGATCGTTGTCTTTGTGGCAGTGTGATGAGCGTGGGAGTATAATGAGTGTTTGTGAGTGTGTATGTATGTACTGTATGTGTGCGAGTGTGAGCGTGTCTTCTCTTGTATATTGGGGAGCGGTGGTGCAGCGGTAATCTCGCTGTGCACGGCCAACACCAATGACGAGTATAGCTGAACCGGTCCTGCTCCTCCGCTAGGTCGACTCAGCCTTAAATGAGTACCCGGTGTGATATGTAGTCAACGTCGGCACGAGGGAGACAAGAGCGGCCGGTCGTGGTTTGTGGAAACCCAACCGCCGCTCCTCGTGTGCCGTGCCGGCCTTCAAAGGTGTTCATCGCTAACTGCACTTGCCCCGGCAGCCCCGTGTAGGCTACACGGGGCATCTTCATCTGTGCGTCGGGTATATTTAGCGGAGCGCAGAGCCACGGTGAGGCACGGGGGGCAAGGCCACGCCGAGGCGCCGTGCCCTGCCCGGGTGATCTCAGCTTGTTTATTTGTGTGTTTATTCAGTCGTCGTAGCTGAGCTATAAAAGCAACGTCAACGTTGTAATCAATGAGAGTGTACGCGTGGTGTGCGGGAGGGGAGGGGGCGAGATAAGACGGTGGTGGTGGGAGGGAGCAGATTCCAGAGTGGAGCGGTGTGAAGGAAGACGCAGAAGGAGTAGTGAGGTAAGCCTGCAGTGTGGTGAGTTAGGCGAGTGGGTGAGTGAGTAGGTGGGTGGGTAGGTGGGCGGGTAGGTGGGTGGGTAGGTGGGCGGGTAGGTGGGTGGGTAGTTGGGCGGGTAGGTGGGTGGGTGAGTAGGTGGGTGGGTATGTGGGTGAGTAAGTAGGTGGTGGGTATGTGGGTGAGTAGGTGGAGGGTATGTGGGTGGGTGGGTAGGTGGGTGGGTAGGTGGGGTGGGTAGGTGGGTAGGTGAGTGGGTAGGTGGGCGGGTAGGTGGGCGGGTAGGTGGGCGGGTAGGTGGGCGGGTAGGTAGGTGAGTGGGTAGGTGGGCGGGTAGGTGGGTGGGTAGGTGGGTGAGTGAGTAGGTGGGTGGGTAGGTGGGTGGGTGAGTAGGTGGGTGGGTATGTGGGTGGGTGAGTATGTGGGTGGGTAGGTGGGTGGGTGTGGGTGGGTAGGTGTGTAGGTGAGTATGTGGATGGGTAGGTGGGTGGGTAGGTGGGTGAATGAGTAGGTGGGTGAGTATGTGGGTGGGCAAGTGAGTGAGTAGGTGGTGGGTATGTGGGTGGGTGGGTGAGTAGGTGGGTGGGTAGGTGGGTGAGTCTGTAGGTGGGTGGGTGGGTGATTGTGTAGTTGTGTGGGTGAGTATGTGGGTAGGTGGGTGGGTGAGTAGGTTGGTGAGTGAGTGAGTAGGTGGGTTGGTGAGTAGGTGGGTGGGTGAGTATGTGGTTGAGTGGGTGAGTGAGTAGGTGGGTGAGTAGGTGGGTGATTGAGTCGGTGGGTGGGTGAATATGTGGGTGGGTATGTGGTTGGGTAGGTGGGTGAGTAGGTGGGTGAGTAGGTGGGTGGGTAAATATGTGGGTGGGTGAGTATGTGGTTGAGTAGGTAGTTGAGTGAGTAGGTGGGTGAGTGTGTGGGTGAGTATCTTCTTGAGTAGGTAGGTTGGTGGAGAGACTTGTTTTGACTTGCAGTGTGGACAATATGAAACACCCAGCATCTCCGATTACCACGCTGGGCTACGCACGGCGCGAAAGAAGTTCAACATACATCCAGACCAAGCGTCGTACGCCGGTGCAGGGATCTACGTATGCATGCAGGACTTCTCACGCACCGTGCTAATCGCAGGTGAAGAACACCCATTGAGTGAAGTTCTCTCATTGAGTGAAATTCTCTCATTGAGTGAGGTTCACTCAACAACCACGGTAGTGGCAGTAGCGATAGAAGAGAGACAAGGAGGCGGCTGGCCGCCGGTGAGTGAGCGAGTGGTTGCCACAGAATCGGCGAGTTCCGTATCACCAAGCTCCCCCGATCACCGCTCCCCCCCCCACGATCACGACTCACGCGGACACAAACACGCGCGCACGCAGGCAGCAACAACAGCAGGGGCGCGTGTGTAACTGTATTGCACAAATTCGCGTTTATTTAAGTTAATTGTAAAAAAAAGAAACATCACAAAACGAATTAGTCACAAATGACCGCCTTGGGCGAGCGCGCTGGCACGGCGGTTCCGGGATCGACACAAGGCCTCATGTACAGACAAAGACAGAGATCCCCCACCCCCCGGATAGCCTTAACAGACTGCTGGGGCAAGTGCTGCCAGTCAGTTGCACCTACGAAGGCCGGAACAGCACATGGGGGGGGGGGGGGGGTGTTGGCAAATACCACGCCCGGCCGCATTTGTCTCCCTCGTGGCGATATTTACACATCGCACCGGGTACTCATTTTTGAGGTTGAGTCGACCTAGGGGAGGCCCATGACCGGTTCAGATAATCGCCACTGGTGTTCGTGGCTGTGAGTGGGAATGGAACTCGGATCGCCGGGCAATATCCACTACACTACCGCTTCCCAATATGCATACGCTCCCTACACACACACACGTGTATGATTGACTCGCCCGACGTTTCGGGCTCTAGTCCTCTGTATAGAAAACATAGACAAAGATCACTTCTCCATAGGTGCTCGCTCACAGCACTTGCCCCAACAGTCTGTTGAAGCTGCACGGTGGATCTTTATCTTTGTGTATATACAATTTTATCCGACCGCATGTACATATATATACTGCATCTTTGAGCGATATCATTTCAACCGTTGATGCAGTTTACATGAAATGTACATCCCCTTGTGTCAATCCACTGCTGGATGAAGGCCGCCTCCCCGCGCCGCGTCGCGTCGCTCGTAAGGGGGGCCTTGCTTGACCATACTTCACCACGCTGGTCAGTGCGGGTTGGCGAAGCGGTGGTGGGGTGGTGGTGGTGGGGGGGAGACCAGAATCGGTTCCTAGAGCACTCTTAGCCACTCATGTGAGCCGTGGTCGGGAATGGAACGGTGGGCGGCCCGGGTTCCATTGCGCTAACCGCTGTCCCACCGTTCCCAAACACCGGTGTTGCGTCCACGTGACCTGTACTGCACGCGCGAGCGATGTCTCGTGGCTTTGGGGGGGGGGTGACCTCGAAGAAGAAGAAGTATCACCTTTGCGGTCTTATTGCTTTCGACCAGTGGGGCTCATAACCTTTAATTGCAACCTCGCACCCCTTTGGTTTCTTAATCGTTTCAAAAACAACAACAACAACAATAATGTACAATGTTAATAAATACGTCGGGGTTTCGTGAAACGAAGTAATTTGTAACTTACGCGCGCCCGTGCTCAATTCGTGTTTTTGATTATTTAGCTTCTAAAAAAAATCTGGCCTTGTCTCGCCACCCCCAAATAGGGCATCTCGCACCCCCAGGGGGTGCGTCCACCCCAGGTTAAGAACCCACTGTTCGAGATATTTATATAATGTGCGGCAAAACCGGCTTAACCAAATTAACCGGTTTATGCGTTTACGTTGAGCGGTTACTGGTTATGCAAGAATATAACGTGTTTAACTATCTCAGCGTCGATGTCGTTCATGTTGTGTGTTGTGTGCGATAGGCTCACGTAAACTCGTCCACTCGCAAATGCAGGCCCTTAAATTTGGCACACGACGTAAAGAGAGTGGGTGAAAAAAAATTCACCCGTAAAAACAAAGTTTTTCACTATAAATCCTTTATATGCGTGTTCAATGGGCCACAACCCAGCCCACATTGGTCTTTGAAACGTGCGGCGAGAGTCATCTCGTCCTCTGGCTTGAG